CTAAGGCACTGCATCGCAGTGCTAGCTGTGCCACTAGAGATCCTGGTTCGAATCCAGGCTCTGTCATAGCCGGCCGCGACCGGGAGACCCATGGGGCGGCGCACAATTGGCCCAGGGTAGGGGAGGGAATGGTCGGCAGGGATGTAGCTCAGTTGGTAGAGCATGTATGCACGCACTAACTGTAAGTCGCTCTCGATAAGAGCTTCTGCTACATGACTAAAATGTAAATAATCCCTGACGGGTCTACTTACAACTACAGCAACTGGAGTCAGGAGAAACCAAAAAACCTCAGAGGGAGTGAGGACTGCATGGAGATGCACTATGGAGGTATGTTGTTTTTGCTGATAAAGGCTTTATATAGCATACATAAAGTGTTCATAAGCACTAATGGTTGCTTCACAGAGCAACCTAGATCTAAAAACTGTATGGAGATGAACTATAAAGGTACGTTCATTTCGGTAAAATGCCCTTGCTGATGGAAGGAGGTTTTCACTCAAAATCTCACGATACATGGCCCCATTCATTCTTTCCTTTACACGGATCAGTCGTCCTGGTCCCTTTGCAGAAAAACAGCCCCAAAGCATGATGTTTCCACCCCCATGCTTCACAGTAGGTATGGTGTTCTTTGGATGCAACTCAGCATTCTTTGTCCTCCAAACACAACGAGTTGAGTTTTTACCAAAAAGTTATATTTTGGTTTCATCTGACCATATGGCATTCTCCCAATCCTCTTCTGGATCATCCAAATGCACTCTAGCAAACTTCAGACAGGCCTGGACATGTACTGGCTTAAGCAGGGGGACACGTCTGGCACTGCAGGATTTGAGTCCCTGGTGGCGTAGTGTGTTACTGATGGTAGGCTTTGTTACTTTGGTCCCAGCTCTCTGCAGGTCATTCACTAGGTCCCCCCGTGTGGTTCTGGGATTTTTGCTCACCGTTCTTGTGATCATTTTGACCTCACGGGGTGAGATCTTGCGTGGAGCCCCAGATCGAGGGAGATTATCAGTGGTCTTGTATGTCTTCCATTTCCTAATAATTGCTCCCACAGTTGATTTCTTCAAACCAAGCTGCTTACCTATTGCAGATTCAGTCTTCCCAGCCTGGTGCAGGTCTACAATTTTGTTTCTGGTGTCCTTTGACAGCTCTTTGGTCTTGGCCATAGTGGAGTTTGGAGTGTGACTGTTTGAGGTTGTGGACAGGTGTCTTTTATACTGATAACAAGTTCAAACAGGTGCCATTAATACAGGTAACGAGTGGAGGACAGAGGAGCCTCTTAAAGAAGTTACAGGTCTGTGAGAGCCAGAAATCTTGCTTGTTTGTAGGTGACCAAATACTTATTTTCCACCATAATTTGCTAATAAATTCATTAAAAATCCTACAATGTGATTTTCTGGAAAAAGAATTCTCAATTTGTCTGTCATAGTTGACGTGTACCTATGATGAAAATTACAGGCCTCTCTCATCTTTTTAAGTGGGAGAACTTGCACAATTGGTGGCTGACTAAATACTTTTTTCCCCCACTGTAAACACGATTTCCCAAGTATAACATAAGGTTGTCTATACAGTCGTGGTCTAAAGTTTTGAGAAATACACAAGTATTGGTCTTCACAAAGTTTGCTGCTTCAGTGTTTTTATATATTTTTGTCAGATGTTACTATGGTATACTGAAGTGTAATTACAAGCATTCCATAACTGTCAAAGGCTTTTATTGACAATTACATGAAGTTTATGCAAAGAGTCAATATTTTTTAGTGTTGACCCTTCTTTTTCAAGACCTCTGCAATCCGCCTTGGCATGCTGTCAATTAACTTCTGGACCACATCCTGACTGATGGCAGCCTATTATTGCATAATCAATGCTTGGAGTTTGTCAGAATTTGTGGGGTTTTGTTTATCCACCCGGCTCTTGAGGATTGACCACAAGTTCTCAATGGGATTAAGGTCTGGGGAGTTTCCTGGCCATGGACCCAAAATGTCGATGTTTTGTTCCCCGAGGCACTTAGTTATCACTTTTGCCTTATGGCAAGGTGCTCCATCATGCTGGAAAAGGCATTGTTCGTCACCAAACTGTTCTTGGATGTTTGGGAGAAGTTGCTCTTGGAGGATGTGTTGGTACCATTATTTATTCATGGCTGTGTTCTTAGGCAACATTTTGAGTGAGCCCACTCCCTTGGCTGAGAAGCAACCCCACACATGAATGGTCTCAGGATGCTTTACTGTTGGCATGACACAGGACTGATGGTAGCGCTCACCTTGTCTTCTCCGGACAAGCTTTTTTCCGGATGCCCCAAACAATCGGAAAGGGGATTCATCAGAGAAAATGGCTTTACCCCAGTCCTCAGCAGTCCAATCCCTGTACCTTTCGCAGAATATCAGTCTGTCCCTGATGTTTTTCCTGGAGAGAAGTGGCTTCTTTGCTGCCCTTCTTGACACCAGGCCATCCTCCAAAAGTATTCGCCTCACTGTGCGTGCAGATGCACTCACACCTGCCTGCTGCCATTCCTGAGCAAGCTGGTGGTGCCCCGATCCTGCAGCTGAATCAACTTTAGGAGACGGTCCTGGCACTTGCTGGACTTTGGCGCCCTGAAGCCTTCTTCACAACAATTGAACCTCTCCTTGAAGTTCTTGATGATCCGATAAATGGTTGATTTAGGTGCAATCTTACTAGCACCAATATCCTTGCCTGTGAAGCCCTTTTTGTGCAAAGCAATGATGACGGCACGTGTTTCCTTGCAGGTAACCATGGTTAAAAGAGGAAGAACAATTATTTCAAACACCACCCTCTTTTTAAAGCTTCCAGTCTGTTATTCTAACTCAATCAGCATGACAGAGTGATCTCAAGCCTTGTCCTCGTCAACACTCTCACCTGTGTTAACGAGAGAATCACTGACATGATGTCAGCTGGTCCTTTTGTGGCAGGGCTGAAATGCAGTGGAAATGTTTTTTGGGGGTTAATTTGATTTTCATGGCAAAGAGGGACTTTGCAATTAATTGCAATTCATCTGATCAATCTTCATAACATTCTGGAGTATATGCAAATTGCCATCATAAAAACTGAGGCAGCAGACTTTGTGGAAATTAATATTTGGGTCATTCTTAAAACTTTTGACCACGACTGTCCCTGATGTTTTTCCTGGAGAGAAGTGGCTTCTTTGCTGCCCTTCTTGACACCAGGCCATCCTCCAAAAGTATTCGCCTCACTGTGCGTGCAGATGCACTCACACCTGCCTGCTGCCATTCCTGAGCAAGCTGGTGGTGCCCCGATCCTGCAGCTGAATCAACTTTAGGAGACGGTCCTGGCGCTTGCTGGACTAGAGTTTCTTCTTCACTGTAAAGAGCTTTGGGTGTCTGGAAAAGTGCCATGTAAGTCCAATCATTACTATTATTAAAATGTTTTGCCATATTCCATGCCCTTGTACAGACAGAAACTGGGTCAGAATACCCAAAAAGTGGACTGCAAGGCTACGTTAAGTTAAATAAATGACTATAGTAAGCGCCTAGGTGCAAAATAAAGTAACAGGGTTTCTTAAATCAGCCAATTTCAAAAATTGAAATTTCTGTGAACGTTTGTGAAACTGTACATTAACTTACTAAATAAAATACATCTAAAATCAAGTTGTGTCAATATGTTTGTCTACATGCCATTTTAAAAACAATGCAGATATTGGAGTAAACCTATTTTGGGTTAAGACAAGTAACTATGAGTAAGGGAAAACATGACAAGTGTCAGAAGGCCCTCAAAATTGTCAAAGACTCCAGCCACCCTAGTCATAGACTGTTCTCTCTGCTCCCGCACGGCAAGCGGTACCGGAGTGCCAAGTCTAGGTCCAAAAGACTTCTCAACAGCTTCTACCCCCAAGCCATAAGACTCCTGAACAGCTTAATCATGGCTACCCGGACTATTTGCACTGCCCCCCCCCCCCCCCACCCCACCCCCTACCCCATCTTTTTACACTGTTGCTACTCTGTTAATTATTTATGCATAGTCACTTTAACTCTACCCACATGTACATATTACTTCAACTACCTCAACTAGCCGGTACCCCCCTGTATATATAGCCTCCCTACTGTTATTTTATTTTACTTCTGCTTTTTTTTTCTCAACACTTTTTTGTTGTTTTATTTTACTTTTTTATTAAAAAGAAATGCACTGTTGGTTAAGGGCTGTAAGTAAGCATTTCACTGTAATGTCTGCACCTGTTGTATTCGGCACGTGGCCAATAACATTTGATTTGATTTGATAAGCTTGCAAGCCGACTTTGAATAAGACATCCGATTATCCATTTGCATTTAGAACAGTTGGTTGTATTATAGCTAATAAAAAAATAATTGATGGAACTAGATAAAAGAAATGCATGACTCGTCTCCCCTGCAAGCCGGTCGGTATACACACACCCCCTCATCTGATTGGTCATTGCCCGCGAACCGTAAGCCGGCATACGTGTCATATCACACTCACTCATCCCATTGGTCAAGTAGGCGGGCCTTATGACTTTGTGGCTAAAGTAACTAGTGACGACCAATTTTGTGTGGGCCCATTTAATTTTTATTAAACATTGTGAAACACGCTCCACTATTACTGCTGATATATTAAAAGGTATTTTTCTGAAATTACAATGCAAAAATATTACATATAGCTCCTTGTAAAACAAACACTTTTTTTTCTCAACCTGTTAACAATAAATAGTCCAAATAAGAATAATTTACAGTATTATGTTACAAAAGCGCAGTGAATACTGGAATTGTTATAGATTAAAGTTACACACAAAGAGGAAGGAATCCATGCCCCAATTTAAAGACACCCGCTATATAAAAGTCTTTAGACATAATCCACATTCGTAGCTTGAACATTTCTTTTAGTGTGTTAAAAAATAAAATAAAAATCGGACATTTAGTATTTGAACATTGTGTCAATGTGATTTCTCATCTCAAAATCCTTAGCTGACATCTAGGCATTGGCTGTGTCCAAATTGGCAACCTATTCCCTACATAGCAGTGCACTATATAGGAAATAGGGTGCCATTTTGGACACACAATTCGTCCTGGAAACACGCTTCTTCATTTCTGGCATTTGCTGCAATGTAGTCAGGCTGGATCTCGACCTTAGTAATCTGATGCCGGATTGCGTAGTCGATGACGTGGCACACAAACATTGGTTGATGCAATGCAACATCTCCAACGTAGTCATCCTGGAACGTGACCATATTTCTGTGTCTAAAACCCCTCATAATATGATTGGTCCTTTAGTCAGCTGGGGACCTCTCTAAAACCCACCCCTCGACTGACAACCAGGCATCATAGGATGGAGCGCCTGGTGTGGTGTTACACAAAAGCACACAAGGTTTGCGTTCAGTAGGGCGCAACATTACAAAACATTTTGATACAGAAAACTGAAATGAGCTTTCAGGTAGTTTCAAAGCGTTGGTTGAGAAGAAAAACCAGACACTAACACAGCTGTAGCTGGGTTAGTTGGAGTAGATGTTCAAGTGGAGTGTCAAACTTTTTGCTTTGATATGGATAGAGGGACACAGACAGTCAGTCAGACACACGTATGTTTGGCCTGGGATACAAATTCACATCAGTTCCACTCATATGGCTTATTCAGTTTCAACAGATTAAATGATGTGTTAGTTCACACGGACGACTTAAACTGACAAGATGGAGAAGGAAACGCTACTAGCAGTTCAGAAGTTCATCAGTAGTTATTTTCAAGTTTGTCTGACATTTACATTTTGCACTCAAACATCTTCGGTTTGATATTTCTCAGAGGGAAGAAGGAGAGAAAAGGACAAGGACAGAGAAATGGAAAGATACACAGACAGAGACCCAGTCTTTTGTTCAGATATGGCATTGTTTTTTTCTTTACATGAGGTTGTGTTTTGTAAATGGGATTAATTTTTTAAGTGTTTTAAAAGAAGGGAGGCTCGCTAGGCAGAACAGACAGAATGGTCCAAACAAACAAGCCAGCTGGAACCCGTCAGAACAAGTTCACTCCGGTCAGAAGCCATAAGAACCAGTTGAAACCGGTCAGAACCATCTGAAACCAGTTCCGAACCCATCAGAACCAGTTGAAACCGGTCCACAGGCCATCAGAACCAGTTGAAACTAGTCCACGTTCCTTTAGAACCAGTTGAAACCAGACCATGGACCTTCAGAACCAGAGGAAACCATTTCAGAACCCATTAAAACCAGCTGAAACCATCAGAACCAGTTTAAACCTGTTCCAGTTGGACTGTGCCAAGGTAGATCTGAGTGCTTTTTCTGTTCAGGCCAATGACCATGGTTATTGCACTTTATTTCACAAACTATATAGGGGAAGGAGTGTTTCTCCACCCCCCTTCATCCTTGCACTTCTGAAGGAGTGGGAAGGGCAGCTCTGTGACAGACATTTCTTAAACCCGCCCCCAGTCTATTCAAACTCAAGGTGGTGGGAGGTGCGGCTCTGTGACGGCAAGCTCCTGTGCCAAATCGTTGAAGCGGGCGATGTAATCCACGCTGCTCTCACTCATCATGCAGGCCAGCTGGGTGTCTACCTGCAGGGACGAAGATAACCACATATTAGATTGTCACGGAATGACTGAAGAACATGCTTCCACAGAGTATTGACAAGGGGGTGAACAACATTTGAATCTTGTTTTTGATACATTTACCCAAAAATTATGAATTTGGTGTTGCTTTAAAAAAAAATACTACAATATAATGCATTCGAACTCTAAACGAGCTGCCCAGTGACACAAGCCTACCAGATGAGCTAAATTACTTCTATGCGCACTTCGAGGCAAGCAACACTGAAGCATGCATGAGAGCACCAGCTGTTCCGGAGGACTGTGTGATCACGCTGGCCGTAGCCGATGTGAGCAAGACCTTTAAACAGGTCCACATTCACAAGGACACAGGGCCAGACGGATTACCAGGACGTGTACTCCGAGCATGCGCTGACCAACTGGCAAGTGTCTTCACTGACATTTTCAACCTGTCCCTGGCCGAGTCTGTAATACCTACATGTTTCAAGCAGACCACCATAGTCCCTGTGCCCAAGAACACCAAAGGTAACCTGCCTAAATGACTACCGACCCGTAGCACTCACATCTGTAGCCATGAAGTGCTTTGAAAGGCTGGTCAGGGCTCACATCAACACCATCATCCCAGAAACCCTAGACCCACTCCAATTTGCATACCGCCCCAACAGATGAAGCAATCTATTGCACTATACACTACCCTTTCCCACCTGGACAAAAGGAACACCTACATAAAAAGTATGTTCATTGACTACAACTCAGTGTAGTGCCCTCAAAGCTCATCACTACGCTAAGGACCCTGGGACTAAACACCTCCCTCTGCAACTGGATCCTGGACTTCCTGACGGGCCGCTCCCAGGTGGTAAGGGTAGGCAACAACACATCTGCCACGCTGATCCTCAACACGGGGGCCCCTCAGGGGTGCGTGCTTATTCCCTTCCTGTACTCCCTGTTCACCCATGACTGCGTAGCCAAGCACAACTCCAACATTAAGTTTGCCGACGACCCAACGGTGGTAGGCCTGATAACGACAACGATGAAACAGCTTATAGGGACCTGGAAGTGTGGTGCCAGGACAACAACCTTTCCCTCAACGTGATCAAGACAAAGGAGATGATCGTGGACTACAGGAAAAGGAGGGCAGAGCACGCCCACATTATCATCGATGGGGCTGTAGTGGAGCAGGTTGAGAGCTTCAAGTCCCTTGGTGTCCACATCACCAACAAACTATCATGGTCCAAACACACCAAGACAGTCGTGCAGAGGGCACGCCAACGCCTATTCCCCCTCATGAGACTGAAAAGATTTGGCATGGGTCCTCAGATCCTCAAAAAGTTATACAGCTGCACATTGACAGCATCCTGAATGGTTGCATCACCGCCTGGTATGGCAACTGCTCGGCCTCCGACCGCAAGGCGCTACAGAGGTTAGTGCGTACGGCCCAGTACATCACTGGGGCCAAGCTTCCTGCCATCCAGGACCTCTATACCAGGCGGTGTCAGAGGAAGGCAATAAAAATTGCCAAAGGCTCCAGCCACCCTAGTCATAGACTGTTCTCTCTGCTACCGCACGGCAAGCAGTACCGGAGCGCCAAGTCTAGGTCCAAAAGGCTTCTTAACAGCTTCTACCCCCAAGCCATAAGACTGCTGAACAGCTACTCAAATGGCTACCCGGACTATTTGCATTGACCACCCCCTTTCTTTACGCTGCTGCTACTCGCTGTTTATGATCTATTATCTATGCATAGTCACTTTACGCCTACATATTACCTCAATTACTTCGACTAACCTGTACCCCCGCACATTGACTCGGTACCGCTACCCCCTGTACATAGCCTTGTTATTGTTATTTATTGTTGCTCTTATTTTTTACTTTAGTTTATTTATTTTTTCTTAAAACTGCATTGTTGGTTAAGGGCTTGTAAGTAAGCATTTCACTATACGGTCTACACCGGTTGTATTCGGCGCATGTGAGAAATAAAACTGTATTTGATTTAAACTGTAAGGAAACAAAAGGTGAAAATTGTGCAAGGGAGGGGTGTAGCAATATGCTTCCTACTGGTGTGGTCTTACCTCTGCTACGTCTGGCAGGCCGCGGGACTGAAAGGAATCATGGGAGTTGCAGTCCAGAAATCTGGGTCCGAGGAGGGCTGTTCCACTGGAGGGGCCGGAAGGGGTCAGGGAGCTTCGTCTGCCCTTATCAGGAGACACCAGGCTCGCTGTGGGGGGGGGAGAGAGAGGGGGGTAGGGGAGGAAGGGAGTGAGTTGAAGTTGTTTGAAATTGAGACAACACAATTCAAAGCTATATCTCAGTTGAGCGAATGGTTCTGGGCTCAGAGTAATCCTGCTTCAATTGGCTTCTTCAACAGGTTCAGTTCAATTGAAAATCATCTGCGTGTACGTATATACTGTACGTGTGTGTGTGTGCGTGCATACATATAAGTGTGTGTGTGTGTGTGTGTCTGTCTTACATAGCAGGCAGCCAAATGAAGAGTCAGTGGAGTCGTTGGGGTACCACTGAGGGTCGTGGCTGGGGGAAGGGATCCAGCCTCTGGAGGGGCTGACTGAGGTAGAGCGTAGGAGCTTAGAGTACTCACTACCATTCAACTTGGCAGGCGAGAGGGATGCCTCATCACCTGAGAGAGAGCATGTGAGTGAGAGATGTAAACAGATTCAGGCAACACTACAAAAACAACAGTACAAAATCCCCTTTATAGAAGCACAACAACGCCCCCTTCCCTTACCGTAGTGTGCCGAGTTGATGGCCAGCTCAATGATTGAGTCACTGATGTGTGTTTGTGGCCCTCCAGGAGCCATTGCTTCCTCCGGGGGTCCCGGGAGAGAGATGTCCAGCAGAGAGGCCATGCTGGGCGGGGAGAGGAGAGAGTTACCTGCCACTCCTGGAGACGGAGGGGGGAGGCCGTTCTGCAGCGAAACCTGGTGGAGGGTTAGTGAAAGAATTATGTAGGGTTAGAATTAATGTATGAAAAATATATGAAAATCCTGTAGCACCTCCCTCTATGAAAACAGTGTCCGGCCTTTTGAACACGACCCAGGTATACATAGGGTCTGTTGTCTTTTAGATCTTTCTCTCTATCACCGTTTCTCTTTCCCTTCTTCTTTCAGTGTTCCACTCACCTCAGAGGAGGCCTGCTGGAGGAGCGGTGTCTGGGGAGGACCAGGACCATCATGCACCACTCCAGGGTGAGAGGTTGAAATGAGGGGCCTTCCGTCTGGACTGGGGGCCTCCAGCTCCCGACAGGGGCTGCCTGGGATGATGCCTGCTGACTTGGCTGCCAGGTCAATGGCACCTGGATGGAAAAATATAGAATCATCACACATTGAATTGTCAAGAGTCCGATTATAGATGAATTGCACCATCACGCTTTAGCTTGCGCTAATTTCCAGCATCAGTGGGCCTGGCCTAGGTGGGCCTTAAAATAAGAAAATGTCTAAAAAGGTGAAAGAGAAGAGAAGAGGAGAGAAAAACAAACCAAACAAAACCAGGGTCTAAACCGAACACCCACCACCTGCCAAATGAGAGTAGATTTTGGCATTGGCGGGTAAGAGGTCTATTTCACCAGCCACGTTGGTGGGTGGTCAGGGCTCCACAGTGCAAGAATTTCACTCGCATTTGTGAATACAAATAACCAAGTATGATCACATTTATAGCAATATACACTACATTACCAAATGTATGTGGACACCTGCTCGTCTAACATCTCATTCTAAAATCATGGGCATTAATATGGAGTTCATCCCCCTTTGCTGCTATAACAGCCTCCACTCTTCTGGGAAGGCTTTCCACTAGATGTTGGAACATTGCTGCGGGGACTTGCTTTGAGGTTGAGGGTTGAGGTCTGGGCTCTGTGCAGGCCAGTCAAGTTCTTCCACACCGATCTCGACAAATAATTTCTGTATGGACCTCGCTTTCTGCAGGGGAGCATGGTCATGCTGAAACAGGAAAGGGCCTTCCCCAAACTGTTGCCACAAAGTTGGAAGCACAGAATCGTCTAGAATGTCATTGTATGCTGTAGCGTTAAGATTTCCCTTCACTGGAACTAAGGTGCCTAGCCTAGAACCATGAAAAACAGCCCCAGACCATTATTCCTCCTCCACCAAACTACAGTTGGCACTATGCATTCGGGCAGGTAGCGTTCTCCTGGCATCCGCCAAACCCAGAAGTGTGCTTCATCTCTCCAGAGAATGCGTTTCCACTGCTCTAGAGTCCAATGGCGGCGAGCTTTACACCACTCCAGCCGACGCTTGGCATTGCACATGGTGATCTTAGGCTTGTGTGCGCGGCTGCTTGGCCACAGAAACCCATTTCATGAAGCTCCCAACGAACAGTTCTTGTGCTGATGTTGCTTCCAGAGGCAGTTTGGAACTCGGTAGTGAGTGTTGCAACCGAGGACAGACGATTTTTACGCAGTATGCGCTTCAGCACTCGGCAGTCCCGTTCTCTGAGCTTCTGGCGCCTACCACTTCGCGGCTGAGCCGTTGTTGCAATTAGACGTTCCCACTTCACAATAACAGCACTTACATTTGCAGCTCTAGCAGGGCAGAAATTTGACAAACTGACTTGTTGGAAAAGGTGGCATCCTATGACAGTGCCACGTTGAAAGTCACTGAGCTCTTCAGTAAGGCCATTCTACTGCCAATGTTTGTCTATGGAGATTGCATGGCTGTGTGCTCGATTTTATACACCTGTCAGCAATGGGTGTGGCTGAAATAGTCAAATCCACCAATTTGAAGGGGTATCCACATACTTTTGTATATATATATATATATATATATATAGTGTAAATGCTACAGTAGCTGTTTTCAAAGTATTTCTGCCATTTTGTTTCTTAGCTGGTAAATTTAAATCGCACAAAGTCAAAGAACTACGAATCCTGTATAGCGCAGCAACACTAGCCTAATTTACTTGAAACTAAAGTCTACTCAAGTGAGACTTTGTCCTTGTGTTTCTTGGCTATTTACATTGTTTTGTTCACAAGCTAAGTTGTTTCTCAATGTTTGAGTTTCAACTGGTATGGAAGAGAAGACGACGCGGTAGAGAGCTGCGGGTCCGACAGATCATTGCTGCGCGGTCTGCATTTTTCATGGCTCTTTTTTTGTATTATTCATGTAAATTCACTACAAAGCTGTTTTCAGGTAGTGGGCAGTCATACACACGACTTTGGGACAAAAATATTTTGGGGGTCCCGTCTTTCTGTTTTGGATATGTTAGCCTACCTATTGTATTAAAAGCTCATCTTTGTCGCATTATTCACACGCTCAGAATTCACTGCTTCAACTTCAGTAGCCTTCCTCTCCTAGTTGGGTGTGCGAGATCAAGTGTGCCTAGTATATGTGTGGTCTCATTGAAATAGAGTAGTTAATTTTCCAAGGAAATTAACTTAAATATGATTAGACTATAGTTTACTACAGTGTCTAAATACATATTGATAATGAAAAAATGGAGGGCGCTCAACCAACATAAATTGAGGTGCAATAAAATAAATGTGATCCTTGAAAAGGAAAAAAGGCGCAACACGCGCACAAGCTACCATGGTGAGCAAGCATTGCGCCCTTTCATTTTCAATAAATATTGATTACTCATTTATTGTCTCTGCCTGCAAATCGTCCTCCTAAAAAAGGTGGGCTATATCCTATATGCAAAACGTAGCTCAAGAGAAAGTGCAAGTGTCCGCTGTCATCATTCTTGCTGCTTCAAGTTCAGTAGCCATATCTGAGAGATCAGGTGCGAGTGTGGTCTCAATTAAATAGAGTAGGCTATAGCCTATGCATGAGTGGAGAAGCACGGGGCAGTTATCGTTCCAAGGAAATGTACTTCCTAAATATGATTAGGATATAGTTTACGGCATTGCCTAGAAATATGTATTGATCACCCGTATTTGATCAGTCTGAAAATCGTCCCACTCCTGAAAGGTAGGCTATAAAACATAGCTCAAGAGAAAACGCAAGTCTCTCCAACTCTGCTCTCTTCAAACGACGTCTAGCATATTGGCTGATATAGCCCAGTAATACCGATACCCTAATATAATGGGCCACATGATAATCTTACTTTAATCTATCTTTTAGGTTATTTTTGCGCTTTTTGATATTGCCTATAGGGCGCAAAATTACTGGGACCATGGCTGGCAAATGAGGGTGTCACATATGCCTAAAATAACATTGCAGGACTGCGGTTGGGTTCGGGACCAGTTCTTCTGGTAGCAGGTGGGAGTCAGATAGAAAGCCAGTGGGTGCAGTATGAAAAGCGGGCGGGATGAACTACAAGACTACTACTCAGACTCGCTTAATCTCACAGGCACAAACATGAGTCACATTACCATGGTAACCTGAGTGGCGCAGTGGTCTAAGGCACTGCATCGCAGTGCTAACTGTGCCACTAGAGATCCTGGTTCGAATCCAGGCTCTGTCGCAGCCGGCCGCGACCGGGAGACTCATGGGCGGCGCACAATTGGCCCAGCGTCGTCCAGGGTAGGGGAGGGAATGGCCGGCAGGGATGTAGCTCAGTTGATAGAGCATGGTGTTTGCAACGCCAGGGTTGTGGGTTCGATTCCCACGGGGGGCCAGTATAAAAAAATATGTATTCACTAACTGTAAGTCGCTCTGGATAAGAGCGTCTGCTAAATGACTAAAATGTAAATGTAAATGTAAATGTAACCTCCACCTCTTAAAGGGGCTGGTGACATTTTTTGTCTCATCTGTGATATTTTGGTTAAAAGACTCCGGTAAAAAACAATGAAAAGAAATTAAGCAATATACCACATTACTTCTTAATAGTAATACATTTATTGTTTTAGAAACATCACAAAGCATGCTCATCTGTTTTATTTTAATAGTTTTGTGTAATTTTGGTGTCCAATTTTTTGAGGGCTGGTAAAAAATCTGAGTGGCTGTTAGATTTTTAAGTCTACCTGCCACAGTGTCTGGTGGACCAAAAAGTTAGTTTCAGGTCCTGAACAGGTAGAGAGAAGAGGTACGTACTGGAGAGCTGACTGGACATCCCAGGGCTAGAGGTGATGGGCAGAGTTCTGGGGAGGAGGGGACGGGTGGAGGCAGAGAGACGGGGCTGGATTGGCCGGAAGGAGCCTGTTCCTGAAGGGGAGCCAGTAAGAAGAAAAAGTCAGTCAAGTCCAAACTATGGAGGTGAGTGTGGTTGAGTATTTCTAGCACTGTTCAGATAGTTGGATAAAACATATTTGGGCTTGATCACAGAATATTACTGCTCCCCAGTGCTTTTTATTCCTGCAGCATAATTACAAAAATAATGTGTTGTTCCGATACTTCAAACATGCCTACTTCCTTCCTTCTTGTGATTATATAAGTAAAAGCATGTTTTATAATTAATTTATAATTTTGTAACTAGGTGTATGGGTTATGTTGACAGGTGGCATACCTGTGGCAGATGAGTTGGAGAGGATGGAAAAGGAGCAGACGTGTTGAGGAGTGTCTCCAGTGGTGCGGGGGAGCAGTGTTCTCTGAGGAGGAACAAACAACAATTTCACATTGAAACAATCTGTTCAGATTTCAAGATGTCCTAAGAATAACTGTCAATTCAACAGGTACACCAAACAAAGGACTAAGATTAAAGACTTACCTGGACCACGAGGGGCTTTCGAAGTGGCCGGCTCCTGTTTTTCCTTTGTTTTGGCAGGAAAATGTCTGACTGCATCTGTAAGAGGCAGAGATGCAAACTGGTGAGGGCCCAAAAAGTTAAAAAAAAATCTGAACTGCAAGAAAATGTGCCTTTTTCAGAATGAGGTTGTCACAACACCAACAATAGGATACCAGGCCAAGTATCACGATACCGAGTAGAATCGTGATACCACGGGGTTTGCCAGGCACCAGGTAGCCCGTTCCCATTTTCTATACGTTCTACACGGGTGCTGCACAAAAACCTGTCCCTGACATTCACACCTCTACTCAATACAACACATTGGATTACATTTCACACTTTATACTGTATAATAGAAAAGGCTACTGCAGAAAATAGCTGATTTGCGCATATCCAAAGGCCTACCTGTGATTGGGCAGGAGGAATGTAGTAAGAAATATAAATGTATAATGATCTGCATTTTCATTGTGGCAGTAAGGGTTACACTAGGGTTAGGGGTCATCTTTAGCCTACTCTTCAGACAATTTTCCACATATAGCCTAAACCCTCCCTCCCTCCCACACACACACCTCCTCTCGCTCCCTCTTTCTCCCTCCCACATACGGCTACCAAAAGTTAGGCACCAAACAGAATTTAAGGAACACCCGAAAAAGATAGATTTTCTATTCAGATTTAGCTTAGAATGAATTGATTAGGCATATGCATCCTACCTTTGAAGCATCTCTTTGAGTAGGCTATCTATCCCTTTTTTCTGTGCCATCCAAATGTGTGCATAGCCAATGTACCATGTTGTTTTCTAGCTAGCCAGGTAACATTACTAAACAAGTTCATTTGTTATCAAACCAAACACTTGCGGCCCACAATTAGTTTAAAATGGCCCACAACATGGTTTATAGAATTACGTAACATGTGCACCAATTCGCGGTAGAAAGGGGTTTAGGCTAGAAACTTCTGATTTAAACTTTTGTAAAGACACAAGCATGACTGTCACTGTACTCTGTTTTTCCTCAGAGGCTGCATGACAGCAAAGTCAGACTGGCCTGCTTGTTCTTACAAGCATAATAAAAAGATATGTATCCACATCGCTCATCCTGCTCCAATAATTAAACAAATGTAACAGAAACCCCATCAATGTTTGCAAACCCCAGCTCGCCATCACGGTAAATAACATTTGAAAACTGATGGAGATGTGCAGAAAGAACGGATAGAGAGAAGCAGCTGAGTAGGCTAATGGCTGGTTAGGGGATGCGGCTGGCTGCTCACAGCTGTCACACGTGATATTGGATGAACAGTGGGAGAAACTCAATTGCACACTCCTCGCGTCCTCTCTCCTTCTCAAAACCCATTGGATGAGAAAGCCAGAGGTCTCTCTTAGGGCTGGGCGGTATACGGTATTTTACTATATTCCGGTATTGATGCACGGACCGGTTTGGGTTTTTACTGTACCTTCTATAAGGGTATTTGAATGTTTGGTTTGTTAAATGTGATATGCCGTGTGTAACGTCCATTTTTAGAGTTTACACCGCTCCTTCAGTCAGCCCTCTCCGCTCTCTCTCCACGCCACTTTGCTTCTTAATACAAATCCACAAGAGTTCTATAATTACAGTACCTTCGGAAAGTATTCAAACCCCGTTTTGTTACGTTACAGCCGTATTCTAAAAAATGATTAAATTGTTTTTTCCCCTCATCAATCTACATACAATACCCCATTATGACAAAGCAAAAACCGGTTTTTAGATTTATTTCAAATTTATAAAAAAATAAGTATTCAGACCCTTTCCTCAGTACTTTGTTGAAGCACCTTTGGCCGCGATTACAGCCTTGAATCTTCTTGGGTATGATGCTACAAGCTTGGCACACCTGTATTGGGATGTTTCTCCCATTCTTCTCTGCAGATCCTTACAAGCTCTGTCAGGTTGGATGAGGAGCGTCGCTGCACAGCTATTTTCAGGTCTCTCCAGAGATGTTTAAATCGGGTTCAAGTCCGGGATCTGGCTGGGCCACTCAAGGACATTCAGAGACTTGTCCCGAAGCCACTCCTGCGTTGTCTTGGCTGTGTGCTAAGGATCATTGTCCTGTTGGAAAGTGAACCTTCGCCCCAGTCTGAGGTCCTGAGCGCTCTGGAGCAGGTTTTCATCAAGGATCTCTCTGTACTTTGCGCCGTTAATCTTTCCCTCGATCCTGACTAGTCTCCCAGTTCCTGCCGCTGAAAAACATCCCCACAGCATGATGCTGCCACCACCATGCTTCACCGTAGGGATAGTTTTGGCCAGGTGATGAGCGGTGCCCGGTTTCCTCCAGAGGTGACGCTTGGCATTCAGGCCAAAGAGTTCAATCTTGGTTTCATCAGACCAGATAATCTTGTTTCTCATGGTCTGAGAGTCCTTTAGTTGGTTTTTGGCAAACTCCAAGCGGACTGTCATGTGCCTTTTACAGAGGAGTGGCTTCCGTCTGGCCACTCTACCATAAAGGCCTGATTGGTGGAGTGCTGCAGAGATGGTTGTCCTTCTGGAAGTTTCTCCCATCTCCACAGATGAACTCTGGAGCTTTGTCAGAGTGACCATCGGGTTCTGGGTCAACTCCCTGACCAAGGCCCTTCTCCCCCGATTGCTCAGTTTGGCCGGGCAGCCAGCTCTAGGAAGAGTCTTGGTGGTTCCAAACTTCTTCCATTTAAGAATGATGGAGGCCACTGTGTTCTTGGGGACCTTCATTGCTGCAGACATTTTTTGGTACCCTTCCCCAGATCTGTGCCTGTACACAATCCTGTCTCGGAGCTCTACGGGTAATTCCTTCGACCTCATGGCTTGGTTTTTGCTCTGACATGCACTGTCAACTGTGGGAGCTTATATAGACAGGAGTGTGCCTTTCCATATCATGTCCAATCAATTGAATTTACCACAGGTGGACTCCAATCAAGTTGTAGAAACATCTCAAGGATGATCAATGGAAACAGGATGCACCAAGTCTCATAGCAAAGGGTCTGAATACTTAAAAAACTAAAACCTTATTTATGTATTTCAAATAAATTTGCAAACATTTCCAAAAGCCTGTTATAGCTTGTCATTATGGGGTATTGTGTGTAGATTGATGAGGAAAAATAAATAATAATAATTTTATCCATTTTAGAATAAGGCTGTAACGTAACAAAATGTGGAAAAAGTGAAGGGGTCTGAATACTTTCCGAAGGCACTGTATATCGAATATCACTGAAAAGTGACGAGTTTGCATCCCTGAAGAGGGAAAAGGAAACCATTATTAGAAGGGATGGAGAGAGTCCAGCTAGTTAATTTTTCTGAGACAGACAAAATAATCCTTGGGATGGTGTATGTAAAAGGTCCTAGGAGGAGAGTGATATGAAAAGGGGGATGGCGAGAGAGAGTATGCAAAATGTCCTTACGCTGATGGAGTCGAGCTGTTGTCGGAAGGCGAGCTCGGCCTCCTTGTTGGGGGAGAACATGCGGGAGTGTCGGGAGCTGTTGGGGGGCAGGGTGGTGGGTACGGCAAACACCCCACCATCTGAGTCCCCCCCGGACACCAGCAGAGACCGCGGGAGGTTACGACCTGAGGGGTTCAAAGCCAAGGTTACAGTTAATTAGTATTGTTGTACATGAGATGTCTTACAAAGATACAGGTAAAAGAAACACTACTTCAAGTATTGGTCCTCTGACCTACAACTTTGGAGTTACTGGAGAATATATGTAGGTTGTGTGTGTGTTTGCATTTGCTTGTGAGAGGAGTTTGGTAAGCTACCGGAGGATCCAGTGTTTGGTAACATCAGTTTTGCCGCTCGGACCCCCAGGGGCTGCGGTCGTCCACAGTTGGGGCTCCGTACCCCCACAGCCAGGGCCTTGCCTGGGGGGGTGAGGGACTGTTCCTCCTGGGATGGCTTTACCGGAGACGTGGCTGTGGAGCACAGCTCTGGGGCCTGGAGGAGAGGAAAGGAGAGGGGAGAGAGCATTAGAAGAAAACAAAATGACTTAAAGCTATAGAAATCACATAATATGTTTACAAAGTCTCCTACAAAGTGTCTGCATTTCGATTCTCTACCCTTCTCCAGAAGTGTGCACTCGTTCCCTCCCCCTCATGCATTACAAAATTTGGTGTAAGCATGTCTAGAGGGAGTTTCCACCATAACCCTCACACCAGTCGATTACTTTTCAATCCATGAGGGAGAGTGCAGGAGTGCACACTTCGGGCAAAGTGTAGAGAATTTGAATGTGGCCAGTGGCTTTGAAGAATTTGCCCCACTAGGCGGTGTTGACTCACAGGTTTGGGGTTGACCTCTGATGACACCAGTCGGAGCAGACAGCGCAGGACGCGGTGGGTGGAGGGTGGGGGCAGGGGGCATGGTGACTGTAGCTGTGGGCATGTCTGTCCTGGTCCCTGTAGCCCCTCCTCCTCCAGCTCCGGGGCTGCAACAGCAGCCGGCTGCCACTCGTACTCCAGCTGCAGTTTCCCAGGTTTCCCCAGCATCAGGTACAGCTCTGCCAGAGTCACGTTGCTGTCTGACCCCCGCGAGCTCCAGCCCTCCTCACAGATCCGCTGGGCCGACCGACCGACCGACACCGGGGTTGGGGTGCTGCCTCCTCCTCCACCAACCCCACCGGACTCCTCCTTTCCTGAGGCTGCTGCCCTCCCCTGCCCCTGGTCTGGAGGGACGTCCTCCACCTGTCGTGGTACCGTTGCCGGTGGAAGTGTGGTGGGAACCAGGGGGTCCAACAGGGGGAGGGAGTTCCTCTCTGGAGAGGCACTGTCACTGCCATTAACCCCTGGGGTCCGCTCTTCATCCCTGCATGGATCAGTAGCAGAGCAAGAACCGCCCCCCTGGCCCTGACAATTGGAGTCCCTCTCTCCTTCCTTGGACCCCAAGGCCTCCCCTACCCCTGGTCCTCCCCCAAGCCCTTTCTCCCCTTCCACCTGCCCCGCGGCTGCACCACCCTCCTGTTTCTGAGCTGTAGACAACAGCAGCAAAGACGAAGGAGGAGGAAGAGGAGGTACAGGAAGAGGAGATGTTATCCGGTTCAGATTCTTGTCCTCTGGCCCTGCTCCTCCTCCTCCAGACGTTCCTCCTTCAGACGTAGATACGGGGGTCTCTCCCCCTACCCGTCGTGTGTCCCCACCACCACCGCCCCGTCCAGGTTTGGCCACACCCCCCCGGGGGAGGAGGAGGAGCGGGGGCCCCTGGATGCCCAGAATCTGGGCGGTGGGGATCAGCTCCTTGGGGCCGGGCCGGGGCTTCCCACTCTCCTGCCAGTGGACGGTGCAGGAGGCCTTGGAGTGGACCACACGGGCTACGCTTGGCAGGGCGGTCAGGGTGCTGGTCTCAGCTGGGTACAGGAACAGGTCCTCGTCTGCTCTGCAGGGGAGAGCATGGCTGCCTCTACCACTGTGCTGCTGGGTTCCCTCTAACGCCTCGCGCTCCTGCAGGCTCTTCAGCTGAACACAATACGGTCAAGGAGGGTCAGCAGAGAAGGGGTAGATTCAAAGTCAAAGAAACAAAAACAAGACCAGACCCAGGAATTGATTATCAACTAGGCTAAATATTATCTGTTGATCTCTTGAAGTACTATGGATCAGCTCATTGTAGACTTTTTACCAGCTGGTTGTCTGGTGCTAATTTCATGCGATTCTATACTCGACCAGATCAAATTTTTTTCCCCAGCTAGGTTGTGGTCTAAGTGCTATAAAAAGGACATGACATGACTGTTGTGTTGTGGAAGGATACGACACGCTGGTCCTGGACGGCCCACTTCTGTTTCAGGAACTCAATCAGGCTGGACACCTTCCTATGCAGCTCCACCACCATCCTACATCACCACACAAAAGAACAGACAATGTTAGAAAATATTGAATTTCTCAGCAAAGACAGCTCCTGTAGACAACACACAGCTCAAAACACTGACAGGGGCATGTCCAGCAGGATACAACCTAGCAAAACCCATCTTGAAACCAAAATATGATAATATGCCTCATGTAATGGCCGCTATGTATGGGGATCCAAACAGTCAGGGTTGGGTTTCCCAGAAGCATAAAGATTACCGTTATGTCCATGTTACGTTCAAACACGCCTAATGTTCAACTTGGAAAAAAAATTCTTGATTAATTATTCAGGAAAAACCCATTGAAACCAGGGTCTCATTCTCAAGGGTGCCCTGATCACAGTAATACAACAATCAAATACAATGTGAAACAAAACAGCAATCAATACAATGATCTCCCCGATGTGTTGGTCTTCACTTGTAGCCTGTGAGAAGGACGTGCATCAGAGCACGCAGCCGGGAGAAGGGAACTATAATTATAATTTTCAGAAGGGAATCATTATTATTATTATTTTCAGGCCATGGGCCACCGGCTGCAAAAGGCATGGATTTTGTTAGGGGGCATTACGGCTACACAAAGTGGATGCCGCGGGGAAATTCAAAGCATTATCAAGTGCTTGTCAAATTGTGAATGAGAGAGACTGATGAAGTGTGTGCAGCCTGCGCAAAAAACTAAGCAGAGCTCATGCCTTTCATGCAACTTTTTTCAAATCATTAGAGTCGCATCATGCAGCCTTAGAATGTATTAAGAATCTAAACATATAGCCCCCAACGTTTGTATCACAACTAAGGTTGCATAAATAACTCTAAATTCATCATATAAAGAGGACCCGTTTCTTTGTTAACAGCGCAACACAATAGACGCACTCCCTCATATCGTTTGGAGAAAATATCCTTTCTATTTTATTCAGCTATGTTCATTTGTACTCTTCATACTATAAAATAATGCCATGGATTTCAAAGCAAATCTTGTCTGCTAAATAAACTAAATGTAGCCCACAGCCTTATATGGCATAGCCAGATCAGAGCCTAACATAAAGGACAACTCAGAGTATGTTATGTTCTTCTAAAATAGACTACATTTTCTTCATATCATGTTTCTTCAGACCTGTCAAAAATAAATAATTGATTTATTGTGATGTAGGCTATATTAAATTGATTTATTAAAAATGTAGATGTTCCAAAAGGTCTGCATCAGTGGCTTGTAGGCTATGCGTGGAAGCCAGGAGATGCTCAATGTGTTTATGTTAATTAACTGTCAATTACCATGAGACCGGCAGTTATTTGCTTGACAATCACCGGCTGACAGAATTTCATGACCGCCACAGCCCAAGTTACATTCCTCAGCTACAAGGTCCTCAATCAACACTTTAAATTGCATGAGCGGGACCAGAACATCCAACTGTAATGAGTTTTGTAAATTGTTCCAGCAGTGAGGTGCATTAAAATTTGATGGAGACCTGAAGAACTTCAAGAGTTAACCAACCCTGTGAACGGGTTTGGTAACTCGTGTTTTTATACTTCAACAACGAAGTTAGGTAAGTCAGAAACTTGTGTAGTAGTGCTTTGTAAACAAAAAGGGAATAGTGAAGTGATCTATGGGACTTTAATGAGGACCAGCCAACCTTTTGATACAGGATGCATTAATGAGTATTAAAACTGTCACCTGTGATAAAGCGAAGGGCGCTATGTTAAGACTGCATCCAAAGGTTTAAGAGTAGTGGCTGCTGTATTCTGGTAAATGGTGTCACCATATTCAAGAACCGACAGGAAAGTTGACTGTACAATCTGCTTCTTGCTGTTTAGGGATCTACAAAATTTCAACAACAAAAAATCCCACTTTAAATCTTAGCTTTTTAACTAGCTCATCAGTATGTTTTTTAAACATTCAAATGTCTGTCAATCCAAATGCCCAGACATTTATAGGCGGGAACCCGATCGATGCGACAAACACTCAATGAATAAATATGTAGTCCATCTGAAACATTTTTGCGAGAATTAGAGAACAACATGCATTTAGTCTTGCCCGCATTACGTACACGTTTTAAACCAACCAAGGCTTGTTGTAAAGCAACAAAGTCAGATTGCAGCTCTAACAACACCTGGTCTACAGTTGGGGCAATGGCATGCATAAAAGTATCGTCTGCATACAGATGAATATTACAAGTTCTAACACAGTTTTATTTATATAAATAGTAAAGAGAACAGGTCCCAATACTGACCCTGTGGTACACCTTTCATAATATCCAGGAAGCTAGACTTAACACCATCAGAAATCAGTGTCCTGTCTGACATAATTCTAAAACCACTTGCAAGAAGCCTGATTCAGGCCTATTTCAGTCAACCTTTGAATGGGAATGTGATTGTCAACTGTGTCAAAGGCTTTGGAAAGGACATGGTCTTTATAGTCAGTTGACACTGACCTGAGGCGGGGATTATGGGCCAGACTCTGGACACGGGCCCAGGAGTGGTTGCTACGTGGCTGCAGCTCCACGGCAACCTTCAGAGGTAGACGCACAGGCTTCTGATCCTCTTCATCACTCACTCCTAGAGAGAGAGAGAGAGAGAGAGAGGAGAGAGAGAGAGAGGAGAGAGAGAGAGGAGAGAGGGGAGAGAGAGAGAGAGAGAGAGAGAGAGAGAGAGAGGAGAGAGAGAGAGAGAGAGAGAGAGAGAGAGAGAGAGAGGAGAGAGAGAGAGAGAGAGAGAGAGAGAGAGAGAGAGAGTGAGTGAGAGAGAGAGAGAGAGAGTGGGAGGGAGGTGTAAAAGGAAAAAGGTTAAGATTTGTTCTCTCCGGTCCTGAGATGATCACCATTACCACTTACTCTCCCCTACTCATACCGCCCCATTCCTGAGTATTGCCATGGAAATCCATCCCCTCCTGCCCACATGCATGACTCCTCAACGTCCCCATTCATACTCTTCCTCCCTTTTCCTGCTGTGTGAGTGTCTGTGCCTGTGAGTGCGTGTGTTTGTGTGTACACTCACCATCTGGGTCACACAGCCTCTTGAGTGCACGGCACATGGGAGCTTTGATGCGCAGGTTCCTGCCTTTAGAACGCACCGTGGTGGCCCTGGAAGAATACAGCAGAACCATAAGAGAACCGCAAAACACACAAACTCCACCCGAACAACAATTGCACAATTTCAACTATCTACACTGAACAAAAATATAAACTCAACATGTTAAGTGTTGATCCCATAGTTCATGAGCTGAAATAAAACCATCCCCAAAATGTTCCATATGCACAAAGAGCTTATTTTTCTTAATTTTGTGAGCATTTCTCCCTTGCCAAGATAATCCATTCACTTGACAGGTGTGGAATATCAATAAGCTGATTAAACAGCATGATCATTACACAGGTGCATCTTGTGCTGGGGACAATAAAAAGCCACTTTAAAATGTGCAGGTTTGTCACACAACAAAATGCTACAGATGTCTCAAGTTGAGGGAGGGTGCAATTGGCATGCTGACTGCAGGAATGTCCACTAGAGCTGTTGCCAGAAACTTGAATGTTCATTTCTTTACCATAAGCTGCCTCCAACGTCATTTTAGAGAATTTGACAGAAGGAAAATCAGTCAATTGAAACTAATTCATTAGGCCCTAGTCTATGGATTCACATGACTGGGCATGGGCGCAGCCATTGGTGGGACTGGGAGGGCATAGGCCCACCCACTTGGGAGCCAAGCCCAGCCAATCAGAATTAGTTTTTCCCTCACAAAAGGGCTTTATTACAGACAGAAATACTCCTCAGTTTCATCAACTGTCCAGTTGGCTGGTCTCAGACGATCACGCAGGAGAAGAAGCAGGATGTGGAGGTTGTGAGGCCGGTTGGACGTACTGCCAAATTCTCTAAAACAAAGTTGGAGGCGGCTTATGGTAGAGAAATGAACATTAAATTATCTGCCAACAGATCTGGTGGACATTCCTGCTGTCAGCATGCCAATTGCAAGCCAGTGTGTTGTGTGACAAATCTGCACATTTTAGAGTGGCCTTTTATTGACCCCAGCACAAGGTGCACCTGTGTAATGATCATGCTGTTTAATTAGCTTCTTGATATCCCACACCTGTCAGATGGATGGATTATCTTGGCAAAGGAGAAATGCTCACTAACAGGGGCGTAAACAAATTTGTGCAACATTATTTAGATACGTTTTTTTTTGCATATGGAATATTTCTGGGATCTTTTATTTCAGCTCATGAAACATGGGACCAACACTTTACACATTGCGTTTATATTTTGTTCAGTATATATCTATCTACACCGGCTAGTTTATTAGGTACACCAACCCTGTTCACAAAAATGGCTCACTCCTCCAGACAGTGAGTCACGTGGCCGTGGCTTGCTATATAAAGCAGGCAGACAGGCATCCAGTTACTGTTTGACTGAACATTTGAAATGGGCAAAGCGAGTGACATAAGTGACTTGAAGCATGGTATGATCGTCTGTGCCAGGCACACCGGATCGAGTATCTCAGAAACGGCAGCCCTCCTGGGCTTTTCATGCATGACAGTGCGACTAAAAACATTGTCAGCCGCAGTCCTGTGGGTGAAAACAGCTCTTTGATGAGAGAGGACGAAGGAGAATGGCAAGCTAACAGGCGGGCCACAAACAGACAAACAACGGCGCAGTACAACAGTGGTGTGCAGAACGGCATCTCGGAACACACAACTCGTCGATCCTTGTCACGGATGGGCTATTGCAGCAGATGACCACACCGGGTTCCACTCTTATCAGTTAAAAACAAGAAGAAGCGGCTCCAGTTGGGCACGCGATCACCAACACCGGACAATTGAGGAGTGGAATCACAGTTCTTGTTGCATCATGCGGATGGCACAGTAAGGATTGGGCGTAAGCAGCATGAGTCCACGGACATATCCTGCCTGGTGTCAACGGTACAGGTTGGTGGCGGCGGTGTACCGCAGTCCAATCTGCAGCAACAGCGTGATGCCATCGCGTCAGCATGGACCAACATCCCTGTGGAACGTTTCCTATTTGTAGAATCCATGCCCTGAAGAATTCAGGCTGTTCTAAAGGCAAAGGGGGTACCGACCAGGTACTAGATGGGTGTACATAATAAACTGTCCGGTTAGTGTATATAACGGTTTATTTCAAATGTATAAACAAATAAACTACTTATAACTCTAACGTTTTGAAGAAAATAGGTGGTATATTTTGTGGTTACATTGGTATCATTTTTGGTCTCAGTCTTACCCCTGTTGGATGAGCTCGTTAAGCTTGGCCACGTTCTTATCATCCATCACTATGAACAACAACAGAGTTAGAAAAGCTAGTACCTCCTTGCTCTTGCGTTGTAAAGACAACACAGACATTAACATAACATCTGCAATGACCTGCAACAGAGGTAGAAAAGCTTGCCATCTTTGGGAACAAGACTAACACAGACAAAGGACATTAATTACATAACATCCCTCATAACCTGCGCCACACTTAACTGTCCCCCATGACCCCGGCCGGGCCCAGCCCAACACTTAATCAGCTCCCTCGCAGCCAACCAGTCCCAGCAGCAGAAACAGAGCCAGACTGAGGCTGGTGTGTCACAAACACACCATCCAAGACACAGACAAATACAGGCGTCCCACCCTGCTTGACTCACATCCTCCAACCTTCTTCCGGAGCTCGGCGTAGCAGATGAGACCATACAGCTCCTGAGAGGACTTCTTCAGCACACGGGAGTACACTGTGGGACAGGAGGAACTGGGCATGTTAGGGAATAAAAATTAAAAGAAAAACTACAGCACACCAGTGATCTTGGGTGCTCCACAAACAATTGAAATGGGTCTCACACTGACGAAAAGATCAAAAGACAGAGTTTAACGCTCTTGCACATTTAATGAGTCGCTTGCAGGTGTGTGTGTGTGTGTGTGTGTGTGTGTGTGTGTGTGTATCACAAAAATAATAGGATTCAAAAGAAGAAATGAATGCAGATTGCCTGCAACCTGTATGCAAAGTTTCACTTGCGAATGCCAACTTGTCTTCATAAAAAGCTGGTTGCTTGCAGTTTCACACTTTGATTTTGAAGGTCAACGTTTTAGTCAACAAACTGAAACGCGGACATAAAAAAAAAAAAGTGAGACTGTGCAAACAAGCAAGAGGTGAGTGGAGATTTCTATTTGAGAAGTCACGAGAGAGAGAAGAGAGCGAGACAGAGATAAGATAGCTTACCGTTGGCAAAGTCGATGTGCTTGGAGATCTTGTGCCAGGTGCGGTAGTAGAAGTGTCGGACTTGCTCCTTGTTCTTCACCATGCTGGCTGGCTTCCCCTTCTTCTTATGCTTCAAAGCTATGTTCGTCTGGATCGCCTCAAAGTCCTTCCCATACTACAGAGAGCGAAAGAGACACCACTAGAGATATGGAAGTTGTGTTGGAGTAGGGGGCACTCTTCCTCTGGTCAATGGAGATTATTATTATTGTTATTATTACAACACAGTTAAAGCTAGAAACGTCATTCAAACTTTAAAAATGTGCAGATCAGTCTGGAATAGTGTGCTTGTATCAGGAGTTGGAACCGATTCAGGGAACAGAACAGAAAACCGGAAAAGAAATACAGAATCAGAACGAAAGTGATCTATACTGTTCCGGAACGAAAGTGATTATTCTGTTCCGGATCAGAATCTGTTAATAACGTTATTTTATTTTATTTTTGTACGTTTGCCCACTGACAAAGACATGATCAGTCTATAATTTTAATGGTAGGTTTATTTGAACAGTGAGAGACAGAATAACAAAACAAAAATCCAGAAAAACGCATGTCAAAAATGTTATAAATTGATTTGCATTTTAATGGGGGAAATAAGTATTTGAGCACCTCTCAATCAGAAAGATTTCTGGCTCCCCGGTGTCTTTTATACAGGGAACGAGCTGAGATTAGGAGTACACTCTTAAAGGGAGTGCTCCTAATCTCAGTTTGTTACCTGTATAAAAGACACCTGTCCACAGAAGCAATCAATCAATCAGATTCCAAACTCTCCACCAAAGAGCTCTCCAAGGATGTCAGGGACAAGATTGTAGACCTACAGAAGGCTGGAATGGGCTACAAGACCATCGCCAAGCAGCTTGGTGAGAAGGTGACAACAGTTGGTGCGATTATTCGCAAATGGAAGAAACACAAAAGATCTGTCAATCTCCCTCGGCCTGGGGCTCCATGCAAGATCTCACCTCTTGGAGTTGCAATGATCATGAGAACGTTGAGGAATCAGCCCAGAACTACATGGGAGGATCTTGTCAATGATCTCAAGGCAGCTGGGACCATAGTCACCAAGAAAACAATTTGTAACACACTACGCTGTGAAGGACTGAAATCCTGCAGCGCCCGCAAGGTTTCCCTGCTCAAGAAAGCACATATACAGGCCCGTCTGAAGTTTGCCAATGAACATCTGAATGATTCAGAGGAGAACTGGGTGAAAGTGTTGTGGTTAGATGAGACCAAAATCAAACTCTTTGGCATCAACTCAACTCGCCGTGTTTGGGGGAGGAGGAATGCTGCCTATGACCCCAAGAACACCATCCCCACCGTCAAACATGGAGGTGGAAACATTATGCTTTGGGGGTGTTTTTCTGCTAAGGGGACAGGACAACTTCACCGCATCAAAGGGACGATGGACGGGGCCATGTACCGTCAAATCTTGGGTGAGAACCTCCTTCCCTCAGCCAGGGCATTGAAAATGGGTCGTGGATGGGTATTCCAGCATGACAATGACCCAAAACACACAGTCAAGGCAACAAAGGAGTGGCTCAAGAAGAAGCACATGAAGGTCCTGGAGTGGCCTAGCCACTCTCCAGACCTTAATCCCATAGAAAATCTGTGGAGGGAGCTGAAGGTTCGAGTTGCCAAACGTCAGGCTCGAAACCTTAATGACTTGGAGAAGATCTGCAAAGAGGAGTGGGACAAAATCCCTCCTGAGATGTGTGCAAACCTGGTGGCCAACTACAAGAAACGTCTGACTTCTGTGATTGCCAACAAGGGTTTTGCCACCAAGTACTAAGTCATGTTTTGCAGAGAGGTCAAATACTTATTTCCCTCATTAAAATGCAAATCAATTTATAACATTTTTGACATGCGTTTTCCTGGATTTTTTTGTTGTTATTCTGTCTCTCACTGTTCAAATAAACCTACCATTAAAATTATAGACTGATCATGTCTTTGTCAGTGGGCAAACGTACAAAATCAGCAGGGGATCAAATACTTTTTTCCCCTCACTGTATATATATATATATATATATATATATATATATATATATATATATATATATATATATATATATATATATCTATATATATATATATATATATATATATATATATATATATATATATATATATATACACACTGCTCAAAAAAATAAAGGGAACACTAAAATAACACATCCTAGATCTGAATGAATGAAATAATCTTATTAAATACTTTTTTCTTTACATAGTTGAATGTGCTGACAACAAAAATCACACAAAAATTATCAATGGAAAATATTTAGCTAACATGACAGTAGCTAAAGCAAGAGGCTATAGCAGCACACAAGTGGTCTACAAATGCATGCTGGGCATGCACTGAGCTTGTGAAGTGAGCGCTACTTGAGCGAAATTGAAGTGGGCGACAAGTCAGACGCTCCAGCCTTTGGGAAACTTGCTCCGTGCTCCAGTCAAATTGGGCATGCTTCGCTCCTCGCGCCACTCACATATCCACTCACATAGTTGATGTCAGCTAACAGCTCTCTCATGTCTTGTCCTTGAGCAGCCCAAACGGGGCCATTTCTATGGATACTCACACAGGCAGAGTAATGAATGTGAAGAATTGTGAACACCAAGAAACCAGCTACAAGGAGGCAGCCAAGGCAACAGTGCACTGTCCACCTCAGGATCGTACCCTGTGCTCTAAATAACTCAACTGGCTAGTTTGCCTGTCTGTAAAGATCTTGCTGCTCTGATTGGATAGAATGAAGCCATCTCCGTTCCCTCGCTTTATATTTCGCACAATCACATCTCATCGCATGTTTCGGTCTGATCATTTAGATTGCTGCTGCCTCCTGCAGCTAATATGATAAATCAATAGGCGAGGACGTTTGCAAGCCATCAATGTGCATAATATCTAACAAGCGAAGCAAGAGTAGGGGAAAAAAAGATGCGCATTCTGACTGAGTGACAGCAAACTTGTCTGCCCGCTGCAAGTTGAGGATAGGACACACAAACACTTACAAAGACACACACCTCCGGGCACTGCTCCTAATCTGCAGCTTTTTATTTTTTACGATAACCCTGCTGGGATACAGGCATTTTGCCAACATCGACTTATGCATACTAAAACACTTCAGATTTGTCCGATCACGAGTATCAACAGTCAATTTACGTATACGATTACGAGTATAGCCAGGTTGTTACATTTAATAACAACACAGTAGATGAATCTGATACGTAGGCTAAAGAGGGAAACTTTTTTGTTGCGTGTGAAAACGTATTTCAGTTTTTACACGCAACAACTGTAGTTTAGACATTTTAATTTGAATTAGTTGTGTAGCCTATTCAGTACAGTCGGTCAGCGATTCAGTGATTTTCCTGCAACTTTCTGAAACGGCACAGGAATACCCATCTGTGTGTTCAGTGCGCACGTATGTCTATACTTTGTGTAGCGGTTAGTGATGATGCTAATGATAACCTACTTCTGGTATAGACGGAAAGACTTTCCCCAAAAAAATTAACGATGCACTATGCAGAAATCGCTCTGCCATTTTCTGGTTGCTAAAATCTGAATAGTTTGCCTAATTTCAGTTTATGTGACAAAACAAGCAAGCATTGTGTAGAGAATCATTGTACCATCTAAACCGCTGTGAAATATATTTTCCATAACCAAATATATATTGTATTTTCAGCTGGTGTACAAAACCTAAAGTAAAAGGACGTAAAAACTAAATTTAAGAACGGGAAGCATAGAAATAGCACACATAGAACATATCTACCGTTTCTTAGACTTGCTTTCAATGAGAATGACAGTTCTGTAACTCACATTTCTATGTGATTGTTGTCACGTCGCCCAAAAAGTGACATATTGCAGCTTTAACTACAAAGTAGCCTATGCCTACCCAGAGGACATCATGAACATTCCACTGTCGTTCAAATACGTTGTGAAACAATTAAGTTGTTTCTTTATTTAAAACTTCAACAATGACTGTCTTCTGTGCTCTATTATTACAGTTTGCATATACTGTGGCATTCTAGTGGGAGAGTGTATTAAAAAAAAAAGTGTGGTAGTCCAAGTGTAGTTATTTCTGATGAAATGTGTGATCTAACATTTCAAAGCCCCACAATCCAAAGTAATAAGGTTGATATAGTAGTATATCAAAGTAATCAGACCAATTATTTTCCTAAATGTAACTTAAGACTATATATAGATGCTTCTAGTTATTATAATCTAGTTTATTTGGGGCTCCCGAGTGGCGCAACGGTCTAAGGCACATCTCAGTGCTTGAGGCGTTACTACAGACACCCTGGTTCGATTCCAGGCTGTATCACAATTGGCCCAGCGTCGTCTGGGTTTGGCCTGTGTAGGCCGTCATTGTAAATAAGAATTTGTTCTTAACTGACTTGCCTAGTTAAATAAAGGTTACATTTTTTTTAAAATACATTGTACTGCATCTTCAAATATGGACTTGAAACATCTTTGAGTCCATGAAAAGTGCTATATAAAATCTGTGTATTATTCTTTTTATTATGAAGTTGCTCATAATAAAAATGCTAATTGGAAAGAAAACATAAGCTGTATTTTTTAGACATTGTCTTCAGCGGTTTGAAAGAAAGCAGCCTAATATCATGGTCCTCTGTAGCTCAATTGGTAGAGCATGGCGCTTGTAACGCCAGGGTAGTGGGTTCGATTCCCGGGACCACCCATACGTAAAAATGTATGCACGCAAGACTGTAAGTCGCTTTGGATAAAAGCGTCTGCTAAATGGCATATTATATTATTATATCCCGGAAAAACTCCCTGACCCAGGGTGAAAACACTGGTGAAAGGACCCCTAGCTAACTCTAGAGGGGGCTTCCAGTTGGGATTATGTAATAATAAGATGCACAGGCGGTCTCCTCCGACATTGCTATAAATTAGCTTCCACTGCGCATATATATTTATATTTCGTACTACTTAAAAAGTTTACTTACCTCGTAGAGCCCTTCGAAGAAGCTGTTCTTGTCCTCTGCACTCCAGGACTCCCACTGTCTCCGGGGTCTCTTCTGATTGCCCACCGGCTCCTCCTTGTCTCCAAGCCCTTGGCCTCTAGGGGCCGCCTTGCCTGAGGGCCCCGTAGAGCCTGAAGTGGAGCCGGACTGACCAGCCGACACCTGGTGAGAGGGACCATTTTCTGACCCTGTGTGAGAGAGGGAGAGAAGGTGAGGAAAAGTATACTGAACAAAAATATAAACGCAACATCAAATCAACTTTTATTTGTTACATGCGCCGAATACAACAGGTGTAAACTTTACCATGAAATGCTTACTTACAAGCCCTTAACCAACAGTGCAGTTAAGAAAAAGAGTCGAGAAAATATTTACTAAATAAAGTCAAAAAATAAGAGCAACAATAAAATAACATGCAACAATTTCAAAGATTTGACTGAGTTACAGTTCATATAAAGGAAATCAGTCAATTGAAATAAATTAATTAGGCCCTAATCTATGGATTTCACATGACTGGGAATACAGATACAGTGGGGAGAACAAGTATTTGATACACTGCCGATTTTGCAGGTTTTCCTACTTACAAAGCATGTAGAGGTCTGTAATTTTTATCATAGGTACACTTCAACCGTGAGAGACGGAATCTAAAACAAAAATCCAGAAAATCACATTGTATGATTTTTAAGTAATTAATTTTATTGCATGACATAAGTATTTGATCACCTACCAACCAGTAAGAATTCCGGCTCTCACAGACCTGTTAGTTTTTCTGTAAGAAGCCCCCCTGTTCTCCACTCATTACCTGTATTAACTGCACCTGTTCTCCACTCATTACCTGTATAAAAGACACCTGTCCACACACTCAATCAAACAGACTCCAACCTCTCCACAATGGCCAAGCCCAGAGAGCTGTGTAAGGACATCAGGGATAAAATTGTAGACCTGCACAAGTCTGAGATGGGCTACAGGACAATAGGCAAGCAGCTTGGTGAGAAGGCAACAACTGTTGGCGCAATTATTAGAAAATGTAAGAAGTTCAAGATGACGGTCAATCACCCTCGGTCTGGGGCTCCATGCAAGATCTCACCTCGTGGGGCATCAATGATCATGAGGAAGGTGAGGGATCAGCCCAGAACTACACGGCAGGACCTGGTCAATGACCTGAAGAGAGCTGGGACCACAGTCTCAAAGAAAACCATTAGTAACACACTACGCCGTCATGGATTAAAATCCTGCAGCGCACGCAAGGTCCCCCTGCTCAAGCCAGCGCATGTCCAGGCCCGTCTGAAGTTTGCCAATGACCATCTGGATGATCCAGAGGAGGAATGGGAGAAGGTCATGTGGTCTGATGAGACAAAAATTGAGCTTTTTGGTCTAAACTCCACTTGCCGTGTTTGGAGGAAGAAGAAGGATGAGTACAACCGCAAGAACACCATCCCAACTGTGAAGCACGGAGGTGGAAACTTTTCTGCAAAGGGGACAGGACGACTGCACCGTATTGAGGGGAGGTTGGATGGGGCCATGTATCGCGAGATCTTGGCCAACAACCTCCTTCCCTCAGTAAGAGCATTGAAGATGGGTCGTGGCTGGGTCTTCCAGCATGACAACGACCCGAAACACACAGCCAGGGCAACTAAGGAGTGGCTCCGTAAGAAGCATCTCAAGGTCCTGGAGTGGCCTAGCCAGTCTCCAGACCCGAACCCAATAGAAAATCTTTGGAGGGAGCTGAAAGTCCGTATTGCACAGTGACAGCCCCGAAATCTGAAGGATCTGGAGAAGGTCTGTATGGAGGAGTGGGCCAAAATCACTGCTGCAGTGTGTGCAAACCTGGTCAAGACCTACAGGAAACGTATGATCTCTGTAATTGCAAACAAAGGTTTCTGTACCAAATATTAAGTTCTGCTTTTCTGATGTATCAAATACTTATGTCATGCAATAAAATGCAAATTAATTACTTAAAAATCATACAATGTGATTTTCTGGATTTTTGTTTTAGATTCTGTCTCTCACAGTTGAAGTGTACCTATGATAAAAATTACAGACCGCTACATGCTTTGTAAGTAGGAAAACCTGCAAAATCGGCAGTTTATCAAATACTTGTTCTCCCCACTGTATGAGTCTGTTGGTCACAAAACCTTTTTTTAAAGGTAAGGGGGTGGATCAGAAAACCAGTCAGTATCTGGTGTGGCCTCATGCAGCACGACATCTCCTTCGCAGAGTTTATCAGGCTCTTGATAGTGGCCTGTGAAATGTTGTCCCACTCCTCTTCAATGGCTGAGCAAAGTTGCTGGATATTGGCGGGAACTGGAACACGCTGTTGTACACATCGATCCCGATCATGCCAAACATGCTTAATGGGTGACATGTCTGGTGAGTATGTAGGCCATGGAAGAACTGGGACATTTTCAGCTTCCAGAAATTGTGTACAGATCCTTGCGTCATGGGGCCTTGCATTCTCATGCTGAAACATTAGGTGATGGCAGCAGATGAATGGCACGACAATGGTCCTCAGGATCTCGTCACGATATCTCTGTGCATTCAAATTGCCATCGACAAAATGGAATTATGTGTTCGTTGTCCGTAGCTTATGCCTGCCCATATCATAACCCCACCGCCACCATGGGGCACTCTGATCACAACGTTGACATCAGCAAACTGCTCGCCCACATGACACCATACACGCCGTCTGCCATCTGCCTGTTGAAACAAGGATTTATCCGTGAAGAGCACACTTCTCCAGCGTGCCAGTAGCCATCGAAGGTGAGCATTTGCCCACGTAAGTCAGTTACGACGCCGAACTTCAGTCAGGTCAAGACCCTGGTGAGGACGACAGGCACGCAAGATAAGCTTCCCTGAGATAGTTTGTGACAGTTTGTGCAGAAAATCTTCTGTTGTGCAAACCCAGTCTCATCAGCTGTCCGGGTGGCCTTTTATTTTCCCCAGCACAAGGTGCACCTGTGTAATGATCATGCTGTTTAATCAGCTTCTTGATATGCCACACCTGTAGGGTGGATGGATTATCTTGGCAAAGTAGAAATGCTCAGTAACAGGGATGTAAACAACTTTGCGCATAACATTTTTGAGAAATAAGCTTTGTGCGTATGGAACATTTCTGGGATTTTATTTCAGCTCATGAAACATGGGACCAACACTTTACATGTTGCGTTTACATTTTTGTTCAGTGTATATGAGAGTGTTGTGAGAGACAGTGAGTGAGTGATTGAGTGTACATGCGAGAGTGAGTTGTGTGTGAGAGAGAGAATAAGTGAGAGTGTGAGAAAGTAGGAGAGTGAGCAAGAGAGAAAAGCAAGTGTCACACAACTTAAATATCATACCAAAAGCTCACGTTGAGAAGAGGGCAGAAGAAGCAGAAGGCGGGGGGTTTACTTTGCACTATCCTTAAGTAACTTGTCTCTACGCCTATAGTAACAAATAGCTTTTCAAAAACAACTGGTTATAATGCCACTTTCAGCACAAACAGTCTGAGGCACATGCAACATCACCGTCCTCCAAAACACAACACACACTACAGAGACCCTCCCCTCCTGTGGCTGAAGAGCTGGCAAAGTGAGGCAGCAGGAAAGGAAGTCGGTTCCATTTGCCAGGCCTGCAACGAGGACCGGAGCGAAGTTCCAAAAACAACACGCGAGGCTGGCATGGAGCAACACTGGCCGCCACCTCACAAAGTGCAGGTCAGGAGGGACAGACACACAACCCAATCCTCAACAACAGAGTGAGCACTGCTTCTAAAAATATTATGTTGAGTCATAATTATTTTATGTCAAGTATTATTCCAATATTGCAAAATGTGCATTTAATAAAATATTAATACCGATATAGTAAACGTAATAATGGTACAATAATCTAATATCTAAAAAGAAACATGCATGATGCATTGTAGTAAATCATACACTACTTGAACGGGTCCTTTGACAAATAAATACATATTTTCCAGGGTGTTTTTTTTATAAATAACACTCACTGAATTAAAATGCTGACAACTCATAAAGAGTTGTCCTATATCGGTCTCCCTCTCATAAGCAATAATATGGGACGGCCTCGCAACTTGAATGCAGTTAATGGTGGTTTCCAGTCTCCTGCCTAGAAACAATTTAAGTGTCCGTTTTGTATAGATAGGACCAGCATAGACGCAATATCCTGCATTCAAAACACTGACCATATTCAACCATCATCAATGGATTGGCAAAAGTAGCTAGGTCCATTACCAGCGAGGAGTAGCGGGATGGGGTACTCCTATAACACAGATAAACAGGTAACCCCAGGCACAAACACTTTCACCGCATACCTTTCGATTTCGCCCCGCCGTGACCATTGATAGTTGGGGAGATGGAATCGTTCCGGATTCGTTTGCTCGGGGGTCGAACGCTGGATCTCAGAAAATGATGCTGGTCGTGACTCGGTGGGGTGGGTGCTGTCGATGACAGGGGCTGTTGGCTCGAGCAAGGTCCAGACGGGATCGATACGGATGTGGGAATCACTGGTGCTGAACTGGAGCAGCCCGTAGTTGATGGATTAAGAATTTCCACTCCGTCTCTCTTTGTACTACACTCCTCGCTCCCCTGATCTCTGCTCTCCTCCTCGTCACAACCTTCAAGCTTTCTGGCCGAATTATTCGGTCCATCGACACCGATGCCGTCTCTCAGCCCAACTGTCATCCTGGCAAAACACAATCAATACAAATGTTTCACAATTAAAAGACATCACAACGCAAATCAACTTAAAAAAGACGACGTTCTCTTTCTCTAAACATGGCCGCCGCTGTTTGTTTCAAATCCCCTCTCACCGTCCTGTCGAAACACGAAAATACTATCTATATATGTTTTCATTTACATTTTGAAAGCCAAAATATTACTATACCTTGCTCGTGTGTTTTTGTTAGTCACCTTAAACTTCTAACAGTTTACATTGTTTTATTTTTATCCGAAATTCAAATACGAGCGCCCCTGAGTTTAGCGCCCTCTGAAACGACAACGTAAAACCTTTCGATACATTCGACCTCTATTTAAAGTGCTTCTTTATCAGACAAGGTTACCCATTTTCATGCTCTTCGACAGCAGATGATGTCTTCTTTCTTTTCACCATCGACCCGACGGTTTTGGTAAGCAACAGTATATAAAATTGGGCATATTCAAAGCATGAACAGGGTCTAGCCGCGACTGTCTTCACCTCGCTCCAGCTTCGACTGAATTGAACTCTGCGCAGCTCAACTGTTCACTATCTGAGTACCACAATATTACTCTCAATAATTTATTGCCTTAAACAAGGTGAATATTATCTGTATAGGCTGATATTTTTGACCAAACACTTAACTATATAACATGCTTTAAACGCTCAAAATAATCTGAATAATAAACTAGCTGGTTTTAGTTTTTACTACAGCCACAAGAGGACAGAACGCTCGAAGTCTCGACTTTGCTTATCACTACGTCATCGTCGCCAGAATTGTTGTTTTCATCATTAAGATGTTTGACGACATGATGTTAACAAAGCATCAACAAGTTGCTTCTGATATTAACTCTCAGCTTCAGAAAGCAACAACGGATACCTTATACATCATATTAAAATATAATTGATGGAGAAACTAACCACAAGCACTCGAATCAATAAAAACAATATAATATTTTGAGTGTTCAACTACAAGAATATCTAATCCATATACACATTGATCAGACACTGCATTTAACTTCTCTATAATTTGCAAGTAACAGATTACTTCTAACATAATGACACGCACTGATACAGGTGTTTCATTCTTTTTTTGCTTCACCCAACATTACTGTAGCTACAACTTTAAACAACTGGCACGTTTCACACACAATAATAAGCATCCTTAATTCATTCCCATGCAGGGAAACAAGTCACAAACAACAATGTCGTATTACTGTGTCACATGTATGTGTTCTCTAATCATGATTGTCCAACCTAATGACAGCAATCTCTTTTCAAACTCAAACACATTTTTAAAAAATTATATATTTTCCTGCAGAAGTATAGCAGTATCTAATTAATTGATCTATTGTTTGTTTGACTGATTGCTTTATTCTGTGGTTGCTATCCTCACCTGATAGATCAGTAGACAGAATCAGCTGTTATCTTTCCTCTTGTAACCCGTGTCATTTCAATAGGTACATCTTAGGAGGAGCGGGTTACACAACCCAAAAAGCAGCTGCATGGGTGCTAGCTACTAACGTTAGCTAACTTTGCTTTGGACATGTTTGCTAGCGATGTGCGGACAAATCCCAGTCAACTAACGTTACTTGCTAACAAACAAATAGTCTCAAGCACAAATTCACACGACATTTTGCACATCATTGTATTCAGTTGTAGTGAGATATAGAGTTTAAGCAATTCATAAATTACCTTGTCTTGACTTTAGTGTTCACGTCTGGACGAGAAAACGCTGCAAGCTAAACTAACTCCGATTGACTGGCCCTCTCGTGCACAAGCACGCCCACTCCAACTCAAAAACAAATCTCGTGATTGGTCAGTTGAGGGAAAGCCATATGATTGACATCGAAGAGCTCCAATTGTTGATGAGAAAGAGAATGCAAATGAACCATTGGATAGCTCGATCTACATACGTCATTGAGTGCGCAGGGAGTTATTTTACATTGGCCGCCAAAACCTGTCACGTCATCTGGCGAAACCGAGGAGGGAGGAGAGCCCTTCTCAAATCGAACAGTAATCTGCGCGACTCGGTAATTTTGACAACAAGGCAGCATGGTGCATCATCGAAACATTAAATTAAAAAATGCATAAAATAAATGTTTGACATTTCTAGTTAGTTCTCATTGGGAAGGCAGATTAAACGTTTTTATCAAAAGCAATCACTTTTGCATGGGAAAACACAGAATCCGTGGTTGCCATGGAGCTGTGAGGTCGCCTATGCAGAAAACTCTAAATATTGTACATATTTTAATAGTTTTAGGTGTTTTTTGACAGAATCTTTTTTAATCAACTTTTTTATTTTGTTAGCTAATTAAGTTTTGATTGTATATATATATATATTGATCCACAGCAGTGCAAGACTGTCAAGTCAGTTATTTTACCTAAACTGAACTGAGAAGCTAGCTGTTTAGCTAGCTAGCTACTGTAGCTAACTGTGTTTTTATTTGAAACGAGATGGCAGAGGCCTGGAGACTGTTGAATATGGCAGAGGTTCACTAAAGTTTCCCCCCTGGGTCTGACCATTGTTTCCCCCCTACTCAACCCTTCATCTGGGCCTCAGTCAGATGAGATGTGGACCCAGTGGGGGAGAAAGGTGCGCATGGAGAGTGGATTGGACACAGGATATGACCCGCCTCTGCTCTGTGGATGACCGTGAAAGATATTCCACACAGAAATGTCCATGGGCTAACTGAAATGTTTTGTTGTTTTAAGAGCTATTTGAGATTCTTGCTGTAATTAAAAGCGCTATACAAATTATTACACGTGCTTAATTACGTAACTTTTGTTTTAAGCAAACTTCGCAGTCGCAGGACAGAGCCCGGACCTGCTGGCTCAAGCCCGGGAGGCAGCCTGGTTCCAAATCGAATGCAATTAACGTTTAGCCAGTGCATAACACGCCTACACGGGCGCCCGGGTGATATTAATCGAATCCCTTAATCTGCAAAGTGTGGTATAGAAATGGGGCATATAAATATAATCTAGTCTAGATAGATAGATTTCTATGGTATGTTCCCCGCCTAGAACCAACATCACACGCGCCACCAATTTACTATCAATTCAATTCAAGGGAATTTATTGGCATGGGAAACATATGTTTACGTTGCCAAAGCAAGTGAAATAGAAAATAAACAAAAGTGAAATAAACAAAAAAATGAACAGTAAACATTACACTCACAAAAGTTCCCACTAGTTTAACTTATTTCACTACCATTAAATACTGCTACATACCTGGAACCGTTTTAATGTTTGTTCGTTTTCCGGTTATGGAAATTCCGCTCAAAGCCCGGCCCATTCCAGGCGAGTAAACCGCGTGCACCCAATATGACAGACAGGCGGAAAGCCAAATGACAATAGAATTAGGGCGTTCTCCTTAGTAATTTAACCAATGAAATTAGTCACACCTTTCGACTGATAACACTTTTGACCATTGAGGCTCTTCCCATTGCTGGCTCATCCTATCGAGTGGGCGGGGGCTTTTCCCGGTTTCGGAAAGGGAATACGCAACCAACAAAAGTTTTTTAAAAATTGAGCTAGCTACGACATCAATCTCCCCCCACACGAAGACAGCCATCAGAATGACTTCGACGAACATGTTTTCAGGACTCGATAATGGCGCAAAGCCAAGTTCAAGGTAACACGAGATTGCATCCACAGGTTTTATTTGCAGCAGGCAAAATTCAAGCAACTAGCTAGCTATGTTCATGAACGCTACTGTATGTTAATTGGCCGCGAGCCCGCAAGCAATTTAGCTTGCTAGCTAGATGACACTTTGATGATAGTAACGCTAGTTACCCAGCTCGTTACCAAAACTTAGCACAACGATTAAACCTCTCGTCTTTGTTACCCTATCCAATTCTGTATCAATCATATAAGACAAGTTAGTGATAAAATATTTATACAGTTTTGTCAGTAGTAAACTTTTAGTTTGGTAACCGCTAGTTAGCTTCTATGGGCCTTTGGCCCGATGCAGCAGGGCGTTTTTTTTGTTGTTGCGCTGAGGAAATGGAAGCTCGTGTAATATTAATTTTTTTACAGAGTAGCCACCGAGATGACGCTCATTGTTCTCTTGTTGCTTGCATTTTCAAAACGGACACAGTCACCCACACCCCGTTTACAACAACCTATTTCTAAAAAGTAAGGGTAATTGGGAATATTTCACAGTATTTTTTTACTCGGTCAACTATAGTTTTCTAACCACCCTGCGAACATTCCAAGAACAGCCAGCTAACTGGCTAAAAATGTGTTCTGTATTGAGTTAAGTAATCAGCTACACAGCTAAATGTGACTTTTAAACAGTTAACTTAGCTCAGCAGGCCTATGTAGCCTGCAGTCATACTGTGGTACATTTACATTTTAGTCATTTAGCAGACGCTCTTATCCAGAGCGATTTACAGTTAGTGAGTGCATACATTATTTTTACATTTTTCATACTGGCCCCCCGTGGGAATCAAACCCACAACCCTGGCGTTGCAAACGCCATGCTCTACCAACTGATGGTACAATTAGCAGATAACTATATTATTTGGTCTTTACTAGCCACAGCTAATGTGGCCACAACTAACATTACCATTTGTGGCCTGTCTTCAAGAAGTTGTTGTGCATGCAGCATATTCGATTCCTAGATTTTTGCACGTTTTCATTATGGAACATTCTCTATTAATCATATTATCCCAGGCACTGCCTTCCTTTGTGTATGATGAATGCTGACAGTCTGGCCTACAGGCTATATACTCTACATCAGTGGTTCCCAACCAGAGGTACAAGGAAGCCCTAGTGTATTTGGCCTATCAACAGGTGGTACTTGAGAAGACTCATGAGACCATAGGTCTACTGGTAAAATGCACATGAGGGGGAACTTCAGGGGTATTTCTGGGCAGAGCGAAATTCATTTGGTGGTACAGTAACCAAAAAAGGTTGGGAACCACTGCTCTACATTAACCAACATGATTTGGATGTTTTCTTTTCAGAGTCCTGCGTCCCCCCGGAGGTGGCTCCAGCGACCTGTTTGGTGGCTACGAGGAAGAAGCAGCTGCATCGAGACGGCCCCACAAGATGGCCTCCAACCTTTTCGCCCCGCCAGAGCCCCAGTGTGTCATCAGGCGAACCAACCCCCCAGGTGAGAGAGAGAAGCCCCCTTACTGGGCATACAAATTCCCTTTTCACACTACTGGGCTGAATTGATCCAAGCTGCTTTGCACTTGCCTGGTTATGCATCCAAACAATGGGTGGCAGTCTGTGTTCTTTTAGTCCTTAATACAAAATAAAGGTTACGCTGGAACCATGAAAGGATGCTGGTAACATCCTTGAAAAAATAAAAATGTATGCCCTCACTTAACTGTAAGTCGCTCTGGATAAGAGCGTCTGCTAAATGACTAAAGTGTACCATGATAGAAAGGACTATGTGAAAGGAACATATCAGAGCCAGGAGAGTACAGTTCAGGTCAGCACAATAGTGTGGAAAGGGAAGATGCTTCCTAGGTCTTCCTACCAGGTGAGAGTTCCCCTGACTGGGCAAACAGACAAGCAACGACTGCCCTCCCTGGTTCTGGAGCTGTCAGAGCCTTTTCGGGTCTATGTGGTGTGAAAACTGCCACTACGGTGCTATGTTAGCTTTTTTTAACGTTCAGAAAAGGAGCCATTGATGAGTGTGAACTTACTCACCATGTCTTCCCCAAATCCTGTTTGGATTGCATTGACATGCTGCAGTGCTTGTGTGTGTGTATTGAAAATGTGATGTGACACACGCCTGGCTTCTATTCTAGCCTAGTAACAATCAGTAGTAGGCCATTGTCGTTCCATGCAGTGAAATAACTGAGTGCTTAAGAGCCTATTCATTATTGAGTCCAGTGTAGGATTACACACTGGCCAGGGTTTCGGTTAGCTGCTAAATGCCAGCATTTGGCAAAAAATAAATACGTGAAAACTGATAAATAAAATGTTTGCTGGCCCAATTGTCTGAGAGAAAGAAAAAAAAAATCCATTGCAAAACAATGTAGATTATCCCAGTTTCCAGTGTTCCCACCGAGAGGGGATTCTTTCTCCAAAACAGAGTATAGATGCCCTCAAGATCACGCCTACTTGAGGACAAAGTAACGAGGCTGATGCACATCGCAAGCTGCTCCAAGGAGTTGGACAGTTTTGATTTCCCAACAGCAGCGGCTAACTTTGAGCATGCCAAGGTCCGTCGCAAACGCAAGTAAATTAGAAGGAAATTGTTTGTCAGGCCCGGTCCTAGCAGTTCTGCTGCCACCCTAGGCAAGATCAACATATACCGCCCCTGTGTCGTATAGTATAAAGATTTGGAATGGATTGATAGACTAGAGTAGAGTAATGATGTGTATAATGCGCAATTGATGCATTTTCAATTTAGCTTATTCAGTAGCTCTTGACAACTATTCACATCGGAGAGTTACAATGTTGCAATCACTAGGCAGCCAACTGCCTATAGTGGGAAACAGTTATCAATAAGCCACGTACAGTGCATTTGGAATGTATTCAGGCCCCTTATTCTAAAATGGATTATTGTTTTTTCCCTCGTCAATCTACACACAATACCCCATAATGACAAAGCAAATACAGATTTTTTGAAATGTTACCAAGTCTTTTAGAAATAAAATAGAAATATTACATTTACATAAGTATTCAGCACCTTTGGCAGCGATTACAGCCATGAGACTTCTTGGGTATGACGCTACAAGCTTGGTACACCTGTATTGGGGAGTTTCTCCCATTCTTCTCTGCAGATCCTCTCAAGCGCTGTCAGGTTGGATGGGGAGCGTCGCTGCACAGCTCTTTTCAGGTATCTCCAGAGATGTTCGATCGGGTTCAAGTCCAGGCTCTGGCTGGGCCACTCAAGGAAATTCAGAGACTTGTCCCGAAGTCACTCCTCCGTTGTCTTGGCTGTATGCTTAGGGTTGTTGTTCTGTTGGAAGGTGAACCTTCGCCCCAGTCTGAGGTCCTGGGTGCTCTGGAGCAAATTTTCATCAAGGATCTCTCTGTACTTTGCTCTGTTCGTCTTGGCCTTGATCCTGACTAGTCTCCCAGTCCCTGCTGCTGAAAAACATCCCCACAGCATGATGCTGACACCACCATGCTTCACCGTAGGGATGGTGCCAGGTTTCCTCCAGACGTGAAGCTTGACATTCAGGCCAAAGAGTTCAATCTTGGTTTCATCAGAAAGAGAATCTTGTTTATCATGGTCAGAGTCCTTTAAGTGCCTTTTGACAAACTCCAAGCGGGCTGTCATGTGCCTTTTACTGAGGAGTGTAAGCCACTCTACCATAAAGGCCTGATTGGTAGAGTGCTGCGAAGATGGTTGTCCTTCTGTAAGGTTTTCCTATCTCCACAGAGGAACTCTGGAGCTCTGTCAGAATGACCATCGGGTTCTTGGTCACCTCCCTGAGCTCAATTTCTAGTCTCCTAGCTAAGGGTCTGAATACTTATATAAATAAGCTATTTCAGTTTTATTTTGAATACATTTGCAAAAATATCTAAACCAGTTTTTGCTTTGTCATTATGGGGTATTGTGTGTAGATTGAGGGGGGGAAAAATATTTTAATCCATTTAACAAAATGTGGAGAAGGGGTCTTAATACTTTCCGAAGTCACTGTATATCACACATGACACAAGTCATGACCCCACGATAGTTCAAATTACAATTAACATAACATTTATTAACATAATCCAGTAGAATTGTAAAGAGTGCGATTATCATTTGAAACAATTTTCGGACCTCGTTTCACAGGAGCATTGTAAAATAAGCTTTCTCTCAATGAACCAGCCTTAACGAATTTTGTTCATTTATAAATCGAATTTGATTGTCCAACATCGGTTTTATAATTTATTCATTTTGTGGCTGCCTAGAGTGGCCTCTTTCCACTGCTCTGGTGCTGAATCGCAGCGGGAATGGGGAGTGGGGCGGGCTGGCCCTGGTTTGTAGACAGCCATGTTTTGTTATTTATTAGGCATAATTAAAAAATGTTCATGCGTAAGGTAAATTAGAGGCCCAAATTGTTTTATAAAAATGTTCAAACAAATAGCCTATAGGACAGGCCATTTGCTAATTACACTGAACAAAAATATAAACGCAACATGTAAAGTGTTGGTCCCATGTTTCTTGAGCTGAAATAAAAGCTTATTTGTCAAAAAATTTGACCGACCGGCTCGATTGGATCTAATGTAGCCAATTTGAAATAGTATTTTTTACATTGGATGAAAGTAAAGACTTAGAGCTAGAAAATGGTATATCATACACTACAGTTGAGGAACAATGGGAAAGTAATTCTGCTTTGAAAGTTGATAAAGTTGTAACCTCACTTTTGAGAAAATGGCCTTCGAATGTTTTGGTACCAACTGGAGAGCTCATCTTTGTCTACACCCATTCAGCATCGTTACACCCTCTTGAGCATTAGCCCCACCCATCTCCTTAAGGGTTGATCTGAGCGTTCTGTCCTAACAGCAGTGAAGCACCCAAGCTAACAATGGCTGGCTAGCTACTTCCAGACACAAATGAGAGAACAGCTCACTGACCATTTTACTTGCCCTAGCAGAGCTGGTTAAGCTGTTTTTATGTTATCCAGAGTGTTGGTGAATGCAACTGTGCGGCTGGCAACAATTTACGCTTTTTTGCCAACGTTTACTGACACCGGCCATATTCAACGGGTGTTGAGCGTTCGTAAATTCGTCAGTTATTCTGCGCTCTGGCACACTCAGACGAGAGTGCTCTCAAATCGGAGTAGATAGCCAGAGCGAATTTACCAGCTACGTCTATCAACATTTGTCGCAGTTACATTCTATTGAAATGGTTACTTGCATAGTGGAGTCTTTTGTTTCGACATATAGCTTGCTAGCTAAACAATGAACCATAATCCCAACTCATGACGTTACTACCCTGCATGAATCTGCAGATATCTAACCAACCAGGTTCAATGTTAGCTAGCTAGCTAACATTAGGCTATAACTAGCATTGCAAATTGCTATGTGATATGAATAATATTACTGTACAGATCATACATGTAAAGTTAGCTAGTGAGCCAGTCAGCTAACGTTAGCTAGCTAGCTAACAGTACACTTTAACTTGAAATGAAAATGACTTTCTGTCAATTAGAAACATGTGATATCTGAATGTAGCTAGCTAGACTATCTTACCCGTATACATCATGTATGGATGCTTCTCCCTGTCACGGATGCCATGGTTGCCCTTAGTTTGATTGAAGATGTCATCCGGAGACAGGTGTTTCTGCATCTCCTTAGCTATCATACTCTTAATTCCACTGATTTCAAAACTCGGTCCTCCAGAAAGTGGAGAGCAACACTTATGCAGTTCTACTACGCGATTATATATCTTTTTTTTAAAGCCGTGTTAGACAGGATTACCTACACATGCTGACCAGCTGAAATAGACAGGAACGTTCTACATGGCAGACCAATCCCAACTCATCGCTCGGCATGTCCAGCCCACTCATCTCAGCCAATCTTGGCTAGTGGGAAGGTTGCGGTCTTTCTGTGGCTAAACCAACAAGGCTCATAATTTATCAATTTTATTCGTATTTACAGATGGCATACAAGTTTGTTATTAAGGCATATGAAAGTTCACATGTTCCAGAAGGAATTTCTGCCAAAAAATGCATTTTGATTCAAAAATGGTTTGTTCAAATGGCTCTCCTGTGAAGGAGTGACCCGCAACATAGGCTTAGTTTCCTGAAACGAGTCACATGTGGTGCACAAATTTGTTTACATCCCTGTTAGTGAGCGTTTTATCTTTGCCAAGATAATCCACACAGGTGACAGGTGTGTCATATCAATAAGTTGATTAAACAGTGTGATCATTACACAGGTGCACCCTGTGCTGGGGACAATAAAGGGCCACTCTAAAATGTGCATTTTTGTCACCCAACACAATGCCACAGATGTCTCAAGTTTTGAGGGAGCGTGCAATTGGCATGCTGACCGCAGGAATGTCCACCAGAGCTGTATCCAGATAATTGAATGTCAATTTCTCTTCCATAAGCCGCCTCCGACTTCGTTTAGAGAATTTGGCAGTACGTCCAACCGGCCTCTCAACCGCAGATCACGTGTAACCACGCCAGCCCAGGACCTCCACATCCGGCTTCTTCACCTCCGGGATCGTCTGACACCAGCCACCCAGACAGCTGATGAAACTGTGGGTTTGCACAAACTGTCAGAAACCGTCTCAGGGAAGCTCATCTGTGTGCTCGTCATCATGTAAAGTTAGCTAGCGTCCTCACCAGGGTCTTGACCTGACTGCAGTTTGGCGTCGTAAACGACTTCAGTGGGCAAATGCTAACCTTCGATGGCCACTGGCACGATGGAGAAGTGTGCTCTTCACAGAATAATCCCGGTTTCAACTGTACCGTGCAGACGGCATGTATGGCGTCGTGTCCGTGAGCGGTTTGCTGATGTCAACATTGTGAACCGAGTGCCCCATGGTGGCGGTGCAGTTATGATATGGGCAGGCATAAGCTATAGACATCGAACACAATTGCATTTTATCGATGGCAATTTCAATGCACAGAGATACCGTGACGCGATCCTGAGGCCCATTGTCGTGCCGTTCATCCGCTGACATCACTTCATGTTTCAACATGATAATGCAAGGCCCCATGACGCAAGGATCTATACACAATTCCTGGAAGCTGAAAATATCCCAGTTCTTCCAAGGCCTACATACTCACCAGACATGTCACCCCACCATACATGGGACAACATTCCACAGGCCACAATCAACAGCCTGATCAACTCTATGCGAAGGAGATGTCATGCTGCATGAGGCAAATAGTGGTCACACCAGATACTGACTGGTTTTCTTATCCATGCCCCTACCTTTTTTTTTTAGGTATCTCTGACCAACCGATACATATCTATATTTCCAGTCATGTGAAATCCATAGATTATGGCCTAATGAATTCATTTAAATTGCCTGATTTCCTTATGAACTGTAACTCAGTCAAAGCTTTAAAATTGTTGCATGTTGCATTTATATTTTTGTTCAATGTATATTATACAAATATTATATTTAGAAGTTACTGTGTAGGCGACTTGTTTTTCTAGGCTAAATGTTTTCTTTTTTCAACTGATATTAATTTATGATTTATACAAGAGATGAAGACGCAACGGGCAATGTTTTACTTTTTAGTAAATGTGTCATGTTGGTATAAGAAGTTTATTTTATTTTATTAACTTTACAGGCTAATTTCTATTCTGTTAAGATTAATTACAATAATTTAAATGTGATTTTGAGTACTGTGGGTGGACGCCCTAATGTGGTACACACTCAATGCATATGGATTTCAGGTACATTTTATTAGATTTTCATTAGTTAAACGAAGTTTGGGCCACATGTAATATATTGACATCACATGACTGGATCAATATGTCTGTATTGAGGCCAAGGATCAGATGGTAAAATTCAAATATTATATGAGTTTCTATTGTATCTCTGCACATCAGAGCTGGTTGGCTACCAGCTTTCAGCCCTTCTATCTCTGTGGTAGAATGTTCTAGAAAGAATTATGAAGGCACTCGCCCAGATATTCAAAAGGTTATCTTTGCTGTGAAATGTATTGCCTCATGTCAGTCCAGGCTGTGCAGAAACCTCTTCACCACAACCATAGCTGTAGCTTAGTGAGGGTAGGACTGAGCTTTGTGTGTGGAGGTTTGTAGCCTGGTTCAATTTGGTTGGAGGGGATCAGTCATGTTGCCAGTAATGGGTCAGATAAGAGGTTTGAGTAGTGAACATTCAATAGAAGTGTTAATCACAAAAAAAGTGGTTTGAGTGTAGAGATTTGACTTGTTTTTCTTTTCCTCAATGTCTTGAATAATGTTCACCTTTTTAATACCTTGTGTAAATTATTTTGTTCGTTCTTTCTGTATTCTGTTGTAAAGCGTTGTCAGTGCCATTTCACCAGGTCAAATTCCTGGCGCCTGTAAAATATAATTGACTTGCTGTCCTTCCTCGATGCAGGGGGTAAAAGCAGTGGGATATTTGGTTCTCCAGAGGCCCCAGCCGAGCAACAGAGACCCGTACCCCCAGGCGGCAACACCAGCAACATCTTCGGGGGGCTTGAGAGTGCCCCTCCCTCGGTCAAATCCCATTCCAACAAGCCAAAGGTAATCCAGACCACCCCTGTCCCCCAGTCTATCCCATTCCAAATGACTAATGGTTATGAATAGCTGATTTGCATGATGTGTAGGGTATATTGACATGTTATCCCTATTATTCCCAGGACAACATTTCTGTGGGTGAAAGTGCCATGCCCATTCCCGAGCCCCCAGGTGAGTTTAACACTGATAATGGCTAACACTTTAGAGCCCACTGTCTACCAGGCAGTTACTTCAAATGACTTGTTGACCGAGCTAATAATGACCTAATAATTCCATAGTAACTAATTACACATCGGTTACTTTAAGTTGCATTGACACCAAGTCTTATGTACCATTTGGTATGAGGTAAATCTCGCTCTGTTTCTCCTTCTCTCTCATCTCTGTTTCTCTCTTTTATCCCTCTTTTTCTCTCTCTCCCTTTCGCTCTCAGCTCCTCAGCCAAAGGAGAGCCCGGCCAAGGAGGTGAAGGAGAATGTTGCCTCCCCTCCCCCCACACCCACCAAAGCAGTGGTGGAGCCTGCGCCTGCTCCCTCGGCCAAGAAGCCAGAGCCAGAGGCCTCCCTTAGTGAGCTCTCACTGAAGGACCACGAGCCCCACCTTGGCCCCCGCCCCCGCTCCCACAACAAGGTCCTTAACCCCCCAGGAGGGAAGTCTAGCGTGGTCTTCTACTGATCCAGCTCCTCCATCCCATCGTCTCTATTCATGTCTACATCCCAAATGGCACCCTATTCCCTATATAAGTAACGCTTGTCCGAGCCAGAACGGCGCATAGGGCAGGAGCCTATCTCTTGTTTCTGTAGCGTGAGGCTGCTTGATGCACAAGTACACCCCCATGACAGGACGCTAGTTTATGGGCCCTGGTCAAAATTAGTGGACTGTATAGGGAACGGTGTCATTTGGGACACAACCCATGCCCACCATTTTTCTCTGTTCTGTTCATTTTCCCTATTCACTCTCTGGAAGAAAATAATCTCAACAATAATTTTTACATTCTAAATTCCTGTCCAATCATTCAAAATGGTTAAATTCCCGATTCATTGCAAGGGTTCTATTTCTTGCTGTAAATGTTAGTTTTTTTTATTACATGGGTTTTAATGTTATTGTGTTGATTACAAAGGCAGAGTGAGTTCATTTAGGCAGTTATACCAAAAACAATCACTGGCATCAAAGGTCCTGATGGAAATTCTAAATTGTCAGCATTGAGACCTCTGTTGCCTATGCACACTGTTGTCATGGTAAGCCCTGAAGTGATCACAATCACGATTTACTGTCAGTTTGTTGACAATAACACATCCCAAATCATGCTCATTCTATCCTCCATTTCATCCCACTCCTTTACGCTCTCTCCACTGATAATCAAACCCATCTTAAGTTTCTGTCTGCAACCAGAAACAGAAACTCTTGTTCAGGGAGAAAATGCAAAGCAAAGAGCTACGGGCAGTACCCATGATGCATTCCCCACCCCCAAAGTTCTTCTTTGGAAGAAATTCCATTATGATTTTTATATATTGCCCATGCAAATGGCTGAATGTATTGTATGTTGTGGTTGTTCCCTGCTCTGTTACCATTGCTTGCTGTTATCAGAGGATGGTATCCACTCGGGGAGGCCTTGTATGTTTTAAATTAAAACGGCTGCTGCTCTGGAATAGTACATGACCGGGAAAAATACGGGTGTGGACTTGGGAGACCCTAAGGAACCCTTAGCCACCCACACACCGCACCACGTTCCAGGCTGCCTACGTAGCAGTCGCGCACCAAATCTTACGCCTGGATAAGTGTTTTAACATGTCAGTAACCAGTATGACTAGTTTCTCATCAATAACGTATAAACCTTTTAATTAAGACTTTGGTGGAAGTCTAGTGAGTTCAGTGTATATTTGAAGGGTCTTTGCTTCTGGAATAGCCAGGAGAATAATTTTTTTTGTCAGTAGCTAGGTTACCCTCCAATTGTCAACAGAATTTCATGCGAATATTCAATCTGCATAAAAACAATATTTGCATTTTCCCACCAGAGATGTTTCCATCAAATTGACTTGTTGTGGATAAAAGGCTGTGTGTGATATAGTGCACATAAACATTTATTTTGCAATTTCAATTCCCATGTACTGAATAAAAAATACAAGTTAAATGGGACCTACTTTACTCGCATATAAAGGTTGGCTGGAAACCTGGTTAGTAACTGCATCAACCGACTGTAGATGGCGCGGTATTCAATCATTTGTTGATTTGTGCAGTGTGGACAGTTAGGAGGCAGTCTGGAACACATGCCCCTGTTCAAGGTCTCCTGGTGCCATCTTAACCCCTGAGTGTTGGAGTGCCTGGCAGGCAAAGTTCACAGCAGAGGAAAAGCAAAAAGAACCTGTGTATTGCAATAAAACTTATTTTCAGACTGATGTCTTGTCTATTTTGCTGTTTGTTTTCAGGGCTTAAGTATTGGCCGTGTCAATGTATTGATTGGGAGTTCCAGTGTTGGATAGTAATGGGTTTGTGAATCGTCACAATTTTCAATTTTGCTGCTGTATGCTCATTTCCCCCTTTGGGGAAGTCAATATAGTTGAGTATTCTGAACACAAACTAGGCCTTTATCCCTGTAATATAATCACATGTATTTTTGCCCCACACTTAGAATGATGCCATTGTGTGGCTCTCATGGCCTTGACTTCTGTTGGAGTAAGACTGTTCCTCTGACACGACACAAATGTCTCATGGAGCTATGCCGGCCGCCCTCACTTGAATAGAGGCAGTCTAATACATCTGCCTGGCCTTAGGAATTTGGGCTGCTTTCGAGATCAATTGAGATCGTTTACAACGTGTTTGACATTATGGCATGACAAGGAGTTGCATGATGGCACAAACAGGCTGGTATCCTGGCTAGCCACAAGGAGGATATAGTTCCAACTGCGACCACCAGAGGGTGCTGCTTTCCTTAACTACACTGCTTAATAAAACCAGGACAGAACGAATGGGGCTGCACCAGCGGAGGCTCCTCAGAGGAGGACCATCCTCAGTGAATTTAATAAAAATAAAAATAGTGAAACATTGTTATCCTTTTAAAATAAAACTATACTAAATATATTCACATGTCACCAAATAATGGATTAAAACACTTATGCAATGGTCTACAATAGCTTCAGCAGCACTCTAGGGTAGCGCCATGGTGTAGCTGGAAGACAGCTATCTTCTGTCCTCTGGGTACATTGACTTCAATACAAAACCTAGGAGGTTCTTGGTTCTCACCCCCTTCCATAGACTTACACAGTAATTATGACAACTTCCAGAGGACGTCCTCCAACCCATCAGAGCTCTTGCAGCAGGAACTGACATGTTGTGGACCTAATCAAAATATCAGAATGAATCTAGTACTAAAAGCATAATCTACAGTTAGCTAACACTGCAGTGCATAAAATGTGGTGAGTAGTTGACTCAAAGAGAGTTAGACAATAGTTGAACAGTGTAATTTCTTCCAAAATTAAGGAGAAGAGAGAGAGAGAGCGAGCTAGCTAAATATATATATATTATTTTTTTTACTTTCACTTAGCAAGTTGAATGCACCTAGCTAGTTTAGCCTACTCAAACACCTGGCTCAAACAGAGAGGGATGCTATGTTAGCTAGCTGGCTATGGCTATCCAACACTGGAACTCCCAAGTCAAGGTAAGCTTTTGGTTTTATACATTTATTGCCACCGGGGTCCGCCGATGTAACTGCTAAACTGCTTGTACACTGTACTGCATGATTGTAGCGGCTTTACTAACACGTTAGTTCTAGTAGCTATGTTGACTATGAGGTGACAACGATGTAGGCTGTGTGTAGCAGTTAGCAGTCATGATATGAAGGTTTGGCTTGGAAATATTTTTTTGCCTGGTCACAGACAGCTGATGTGTTGTGCACTGAAGTCCACAAGCGAAGGGAAGTGGTGAGAGGAGGAGAGTGCGTAGATAGTTGCGAGAAGGAATTAGATATATATACAAGGAGCTGTTTTTATATGGCTGCTATGAAAGTGAACTGTTTGCATGTGATCAGGGGTGTATTCATTCCGCCGATTCTGTTGAAAAACATTTCTTAAATGGACGCAAACAGAACGAAACAGGAATAAACATACTTGAATTTGTCCAATAGAAACTTGTTTGCAACTGTTGGAATAATGATTACACCCTAGTATGAAAAATGTATGCACTCACTAACTGTAAGTCGCTCTGGATAAGAGTGTCTGCTAAATAACTAAAATGTAAATGTAGATCAGCTAGATACAGGCAAAAGTGTTCAAGGCGGTATTGAATGTGTCACTGTCTTGTCACCTTGATTACTCAAAATTCTCTCGACCTGTGCACCTACGTTGTAAACTTTAATTCATAGGCTAGATTGTAGCAACCTCATGATGGGTACAGGGAAAATTTGAGTATCATGTTGTAGTCTAAACCTATCGATGTTACATTGAGCTGGGGAATGGAATATGAATGACAGTCATCCAATATGCTGTAATAGAAATAAGGCCATGCTCATAAAAAAAAAATCCTCCCTCATCTTAAATGGCACCGACCGCCACTGGGCTGCACCTTGACATTTTCATAAATGATAATAATCATCAATCACTTAAATGTATTTATAAAGCCATTTTTACATCAGCAAACAGTGCTTTTACAGTAACCTTGTGTAGACCTCAAAAAGCAATGATAAGCGGAAGCACAATGGCCAGGAAAAGGGGGAGAAACCTACACCGTAAACCCCAATGTGCTGTCATTGCTCAACATTTTTATTCACCTGCAACCTGCATTCATAATGACCCCAGGGTTAGGAACAGTGTGAGGAGACTACCTAAGCCATTTACACTGGAACAACCATTTCAGTTACAGGTGCATAAAATATAACAATGATCGGATTAGTTTAGAAAAATTTGTGGTATTTTGTCTTCTGTAGCATAACATTAATCAATCACTGACTTTTACTCAACTAGTATTTTAACTGGGTGACTTTTATGTGAGCAATTTTGTATTAAAGCTGCAATATGTAACTTTTTGGGTGACCAGACCAAATTCACATAGAAATGTGTGTTATAGATCTGTCATTCTCATTCAAAGCAAGTCTCAGAAGCGGTAGATCTGTTCTGTGTGCTATTTCTATGCTTCCCGTTAAGTTTTGTGTTTGCGTCTTTTACTTTCGGTTTTGTACACCAGCTGAAAATACAATATTTTTGGTTATGGAAAATATATTTCACAGCGGTTTAGATGTTACAATGATTCTGTACACTATGTTTGCTTGTTTTGTCTCACAGACTGAAATAAGGCGAACTATTAGAATTTTCGCAACCAGGAAAATGGAGGTGTGATTTCTGCATAGTACTGAAATTGCTCACTGGCTCATCGGTCTATCTATTGACTAGGGTACCAGTGAGCATTTCTTGTAGTGGACATCTGTTTGGAGCTGTTAAAGTAATTCATAATAATTATAATTTTTTTCATGGGTCATAAAGGGGGAACAAATACATTCAATATAATTAATTAGTTGAATTAAAACGTATGTTTAAACCCTTTCTCATGCTTGGAGATTTATTTCCTTACATTTATGATACTGCTGTTTGTCGTTATATCATATACTAAGCATTTAACAATTGAATTACACATTGAATTTG